ACACACACATCCCTATCCTTATATAAAACTAGATGTTGTTCCTAAACATCAACTGAGCCACCCTACGCCTTTCCTTCACCCACATCCACCCCACGGTTCCATTTGTGAACTTCACAGTCCCATATATAAAAACATCACTCCCTCCTATGGACCAGTTTGGCTGCGGGAAGGAAAGGGAGAGGAGTGGTGGTAAGGGAAGATTGCAGAGAACTGACAACAGCTTGGGTGAACAATACTAGGAGCCAAATCTTTTAAGCTCAGGATTCCCACAGTTTTTGAAGAAGTTGGTGGAGGAAGAATTCATAGAAAAATAACCAAAATTAGAATAAGCAAGAATGATGACCACCTTTTCTAAGAAATCTCAATGGCAATTAAGTAATCTTTGTTTTTCTTCTTCTGTTCAATTAAAAAATAATAATTCCTCAGCAGAATACACTATCAATTTATTAACAGCTCCTTTGAGGGGTGAGGGAAGCACTCTATAAGCATGTTAAATAAGCACACCTTGATATTAACCTTGATATTAAGATATACCCCATTTCAAAAATGTTGAGTTGGGAGGGAGGAGTGTTGTGAGTCAGATGAGGCTTGAAGTAGGGGAATTGAAGTGAGAACACAACTCAAAATTGAGGTAATCCAGTGCCCAAGTTACCTCCCCTGGTTCTGCCAAATGGTGGCTGCCTCCATAGATGAGTGCCTTTGGATAGGCTGATGCTCCAATGGCCATAAAAGAGTGATGGAGCTTCCACTCAACCTTGTGCCTGCCCAGTAGGAAACTATGATGTAGTAAAACTACTTTGTAGTAAATGAAAATGACTCCCAGTCAGAGATCCTCTCACCTAGTAGTATATAAAACCATTCTATATGCATGATTTCCCAAACAGATCCCCAGTGATGGATTTTGGTCAGCAGCACAGACATATTCAAACAGATCTAGAAATGTTGAAATATTATTTGCAGGGACACTGAAAATATATTCTTTATGGAATTCCACAATGGGGATATTGTTATTTGTGAACTATGCATATTGAAATATATGATCATCATCTGAACTTTTCACTCTAACTTATACCCATGACTACCTATGCTGTTCATTTTCTGGGGATTCTGTGCTCTAAACTAGAGGATTTTGAATCCTACATAAAATGGGTTTGTTTGTACTTCTCAAGAGAGAGCCTTGACTGGGAGGTTGAAAATGCTATGACCCTGAGTCGTATTCTGATTTAATATTGACGTGCCTTATGGTGCACTGTCATGTTTCATTGTAATATCTAAGATCTCCATGAAGGCTCTTTTTCTTTTAAGTGCATTTTTGAGGCTCTTATTATAACAAAAAGTGATAGCTTAAGAAGTTTAGCTGCTTAGAACCATGACACCACTGTCTACATTTACCTCTCTAAAGGCATTAAGCCACATCAGAACCTTAAAACACCCCCTCTTCATATGGGGAGTCACGAGCAGAGTGGACTACTGCTTCTGCAGAGGTATCGTTTGAGCTTTGCTGAATAGTAGTACTTCTATTAACCAGGAAAAACTCAGGAAAATTGGAATGGTGAGGAAAGAAATCAGAGGAAGATCATAAAAGCCCAGTTCATTTCAAGGAGAAAGCAGTAACCATCCCTCCTCCCTACATTTTGAATATCACACGAATTTAAGTAACAAAATAAACAATTCACTGAGAGCACACTTTATGTACAACTTTAATTTCTTCCTACTGTTTTCATTACCAAGCTGTTTGCTTTCTATAGGGAGGATGGGGGGAGACTTTTAAAAGACTCATTTAACACAGAAGTCAATTTCTACTAATGTATTCTTCATGTGGCATATGTAGTCTTCCAAAGCAGATCTATATATACAAATATACATATATCAATATCTTCTTTTATAAGGACAACAGCAATTAGATTAGCCCATCCCCAAACACATGATGGCTATTTATATTCTGTAGGTCAAAAAAATATGAATATGAGAACTATTTTATAATTATTGCTAACTGGTTAGTATTTTTGATGGAACTGTTTTATATAAAACAGCTCTAATTAAAAAGAATACTACTACTACTGTATAACCCAGATTTTACCTTCTAAAAAGTTAGGTTGGGAGTGTTTTTCATACATTCTGCCCTAAGTAAGCAGAAATAAAATGCTTTCTATCAATTGGCACTATCAAGTTATTTAAGACAGTCTTATAACGTTTATGGGCACTGCTATCTCTGTAACTTGAGGTTTGTAAGGGGAATCTGAGAGGGGACTGGCAGCTTTTACAGGATCACAAGGGGCTCCACAGGACCTCAAGACCCCAAAGCCACCTTTGTATGTGTGAAGTGAAAGGGAAGAAAATGAGAACTTTGCACAAGTGCATAGGAGGCCAAAGTGGGCAAGAGAGGGAGATAAAAGCCGAGGCAAGGGAATTACCTACAAAATATTCATCACAAAGTTTCCAATGAATGCTTTTTTCCTAGAGTTCCTCAGATCATGCCTAGAGGTAAAGATAAGGGATTTTAATTGGTAAGAATGCAAGCCTACTTTTTAAGACACAGGAGAATATACAGGGCACTACTTGAACTCCAAATCCCCTCAAATTTAATTCTGTACATAAAATCTAGTCAGGGGAATCAGGAAGGATAGGGGACATTTGCACACCTGACACACACATGCACATGTACCCTTAGATCCAAAGCAAGCTGTGAAACTATCCACAGAAAATAATTGATAAGTGTGCTTAGGCAGAATGCATTAAACATAGACATTAAGGCAAAAATACATTAAACAGAATATGTATGTATGTATTGAGTTCTATCACTGCTAAGTGCAATTTACAAAAGAATTTTCTCTATTGTTTTCTAATAATGCTTCCTGAAATTTCCTCAGATAGAAAAACAATGTCTGGTTACTAGAGAAGTAGGCTGGAGCCAGAATCTGCTACTTACCACAAATGTAAAGATCAGAGAAATGACAGACATTATAAGCCCTTTCAGAGTTTGGTCCCAAATGTGCCCTGAGATAAATATAGGTTCCCAGGTTCAGCTCCATCATTTTTACACACGATGCAGGTAATTTATGTGGCTGTTAAAATGTTGGTTGGTACCGTGGTCATTTACAGAGCCTGCATTATACCCTCACAGCCCAGTGAGGCAGGTGGGAGAAGAATTATTATCCCTGCTTAACAGAGGAGGGAACTAAAGTTCATAGAACCAGTCAGAGGTAATGAAGATGGAACCAGAAATCAAACTGTCCCTTAGTCTGGTGCTCTTTGAGAAACTAAAGATATGTTTGTATCTTATAATATGTGGAAGAGTCCCTTTGTAGTTTGCCAGTCACAGCATTCCGGCAGTGGCTTTATTTGGCAGTGCCCTTCAGTCCACTTTCCAGGTCCTAAAATAGCATGGCTTTTCTCATCAGTCTTTTTCATCAACTCATTTCCTGGGTTAAGACTCCTTCTTCCAGAACATCTCCCCTAACACAAGGATCAGAGAAACATGAGTAGGGTTTCTGCCATTGGTTCAAAGAGAAAGGGAGCAGCTAATACTTAGTACCCCACCTTTAAACAGCACTGTTCTGTTTTAGCAAGCACATCACCCTCACTCAGGTGCGCCTGGCCTGCTGCTTCTCAACAATCAATCTGCCTTTACAGCAGGATCTTGTAAGAAACACAGCCTCCCCGTCTGCTATAGATGGTCTATAGTTGCCCTAAGGTTCTTCCTTTTTATCAATTCTCACTGAAGTGATTTCCTAAACAGAAATGAAATTACATATTATATGAAATTATTATAAGATTTTAAAAAATTCTTCCATAAATTTCAATAGTCAGTATTTGAGAGGAAGAGGAAGTGCAAATCAGTTCTGATGGTGACAGGTAGAAGGTGGCGACTGAGTTAGTACCAATGAATTCACTTTAAGCCACTTGTACTAATGAAGCACAGATCTGCACTCTCCAGACACACACATTTATTCTGAGAAGATGACAGTATTCTTCAAAGTAACAGTGTGAATATTAAGCCCACAGAAGACACTTTGGTTGTTTTGACAAAGTGACTTAAGTATTAATGCCATCTCATTAAACCAAGCCAAGTAAGGGAAGAAAAGGTTGATGAGGTCATAGTCCAGGCATGAGGTCACCAGCTAAATCTGACCTCATAGCAACAAAAGGAGTTTGACTAATGAAAATGTGTCCCCAGGGTAGAAGTCAACATCCCTTTGCGTAAATGACTTTCTCAGGCCAAGAAAGGAAATGTGTTAGCTAGACACTCTTGGCTTGCTCACAGCATCATGTGCCTAGTTGCACTTTAAAAGTCTGTTGTGAAGAATATGATTAACTGATGATTCAAATCCTAGAAAGGGCACATTATCAGAGAGCAAAGAGTGCCTATCAGCTCTTCAGAACCAAAGCAATAGAGTGTGAGACCTGAATTCCACCATGAACTCAGAGAATGATTAAAGTCAGAAGTGATCCATGTTGCTTATAAATGAAGTCCAAGGTTTCTAGCGTTATCAGCAGTAGGCACAAGATAATTGTGGATAGCAACCAAAAAAAAGTTATTTGATTTTGCTACTTTTTTTAATAAGCTAAGAAAAGCTATTGGGCTAATGTAATGGAAATATTAGTGTTAGCTGTAAATTTTGGAAATGAATACTATTTTTAAGAGTTTGGGAGGCTGTCTGATCATAAATATTTCAAACAGCACACTATTAATTCAAGCTAATCAATAATACAGCATAACCCTCCAGCTAAGTTACCATTGAGAAGATATTTATTCACCAATTTTATTCCCACTGAATCCATATCCAAAGGTTTGGGCTTGATTATAGTAAGATATGTTCTCTTCTTTTTATCAAAACATTATTTATTACTCAAACATTTCCATAGAAATAACCTGTTATGACCAAGTCTTTAATTCATTGAGTAGAAAACTGAATATTTGCTGACATTCTTGAAAACCTGCAGCCACCCTGCAGGGAAGAATTTGACATTATCACACTGTGTTTTCCTTAACTTGACAGGAAGTCAACTTCAAGCAGACTGACTTGAACCAGGATCTCATTTGGGAAGGATAAGTGTCCAATAAACTCTGTGGTCTATTTTTTTAATTTGGAAAATACTCAAGTTTCAGTAGCTAATCATCCTATACCTTCTGAAAACCTGGCAATCCCATGTGGACTTCTGGTAGAATGAGCAATGCAAAGAGCTGGCTTGGACTTGGCATGTCCTTGTATTTCTGGGGACTGATGGACCTAACAACCATCGTTCTATCGGGCACCCCAACACCACCAGGCGAATTAGAAGCCCTCCTATCAGACAAGCCACAGTCACATCAGCGAACCAAGAGGAGCTGGGTTTGGAACCAGTTTTTCGTTCTGGAAGAATACACTGGGACCGACCCTTTGTATGTTGGCAAGGTAAGAGATGCCAAGTAGGGGACCTACTTGGCGTCAGGGTATCGGATATTGAAGGTGGATGTGAATATGGATTGACTATAAATACCCACCTAGCCTATGTCTGAGGCCTGAGAAAAATCTGAACAAGTAGTACATTACTTGACATCTAGCTAAAATATGACTTTTGCTTTGTCAGATATCAGTAGGAAAGAAAATATTTCTCTCCTTCTCCATGTCTCTGTTCTGAGTAGGAAAAACTGGGAATTGGGATTTGGAGGAACAGATTCCAATCCTGCAAAAGCCATTCAAGTCCCAAAAGAGTAGCAGCAGTCTCCTGGGGATGACAGGATGGGGAAGCAAGAAGCTGAGAAATGCAAAGGCGGGGGAGTACAGATTTCTTTGCCATTTTTTTTTTTTCAACTTTCCACAGGTATTGCCGGGGGCCCAAATTTAATGAAAAAAAAAAAAAGGATAAAACATTTTTCATTTCAGAAGATCCTAGCATGAGCTTTAGGGTAGTTGGAGACAATCAATGAATATATTTATAAACTTTATACCCAAGTTCCCTTGACTTAATCTGTCGTCATTTCATTTTTAATCCTGGCTTTCTCCTATGTTTACTTTATTTGGATGTTAATCAGAGACCATTTGGGAGAAGCAACCAAGTAAGAGAATGGGAGACAAAGAACTAATTAGAAAATAAATAATTCATTCAATGATAACCTAAATACTTGTTTAGTGCGGAGGCTGAGAGCATGGGTTTTACATTGATACACATGTGGGTTCAAAGTCCAGCCCTGCCAGTTGGTTCCAGAATGACTTTCAACAGGGTGCCAAGACCCAACAGGCTGTGTTGAGTGGAGGGAATAAGAGAACTGCTACTTTTTAAGCTGGTCCCTCAATGCCCACTCACCTCTTAACCCAGTTGTCTGCCTTTTGTCCCCACTATTGCAATGAAGCTGTGTCTTCACTGCTCCTCAGAGTGAACCCGTCTACTATCCAACACAATGGCCTTGTCGTATGATACTTCTAGTGACAGCTCTGGCCACTGCTTCCCCATCCCTCTGCTTGAGTTGCTCTCCTCTCTCAGCATCACAACCATCACAATCCCTGCTTCTCCTCCTTTCTTCCCCAACTCCCTGCAGCTGGCCCCAGGTATTAGGAGCTCACCACCCTCATTCTGGCTCCTTCTCCACCCTCACTTATTCCCTGGGTGAACCTCCCCCTGTGGTTTTAAACACCATCTTTATACCAAGAAATGTGAAACCTCCATCTCTAGCTGAGACCACTCATCTAAGCCTCCAGGATTATAAAGCCTACTGCATATGTGACATCAACATGTTTTTGACTCTTACGCTGTTCAAATGTAGCACGTCTCATGAGGAACTTTTGTTTTTTCCTCCCAAACCTGGTATCCCTGGGTCTTCCCTATCTTAGCACTGCCTTCACCTAGAATTCTCAAAAGCAGAGACCTGGGGGTCATTCTTTCCTTACCCTGCCTTCATGTTCTCTCTATCTGCAAATTCTGTTTGTCCAGGCCAAAACAAAGTCCTTTATCACTAGTATATCTTCACCTGGGCAAATACATAGCCTCCCAACTAGGCTTCCCACCCCACCCTCCACTTCCTTCCAATGTATTCTCTGCCATGATCTTTCTACATCAGACAATGTCACTCCTCTATACAAGTCTCTTCAACATCTTCCCTCTGTGTCTCAAGCCCCCAAAATGCCTCCCTGCAGCTTACAAGGTCATCCCTGCCTCCTGGTGCCCATCCATGTCCCACACTACCCTCTCCAGCACTTTTGTGTTCCAGGGACATGGCCAAGTGTCACCTCCAAGTGCCCCCCTAAGGAAACATGCTTCCCTTGGCTTCTTTCTTGGTCAACTCCTCTTTACAATTTAGGGCTCAGTCCTAACCTAAGCCTTCCTAGGCCATCGTCTAAGGGACACCCGTCTCTTAGGTTTTCACCACATTATTCTTTCACAGCTCTAATCACAACCCACAATATTTGATTTCTTTTTATTTACATGTTTATTATCTGAAGCCCCTGACTAGATTAGAGACCCAATGAGAGCAAGGACCTTGCTTCCATTTCATCCCCAAGACCTAACACAGCACCTGTCATAGAAGGTGCTCAAAATGACAATCAGTGAATAAGTAATAAACACCTCATAGTGTAGTAAGGGTTCATAAGCCTTGTAAAGCACTTTGCAAGGTTCCTGATTAAGACTTTAACCATTATTACCCTGCAGTAGTAAATAGTAGTAACAGGAGTAGTAGCATACTGGGAGTGGTAATAGTAACAATACAAGGAGTTCATTATGGGATGTAGCAGCTCAGCAATGCATACCTAATGCAGCTGCAGATTCCTTGACCTCACAACCTGTGAATTTTCTGTGACTTACCCTTTCTTTATCTCCTGTATGCTTCGTGTATAATCAGCCACCATGTCTGTCAATATTTCCGTGCCAGTTTCTTCCAGACTCACCTTTTCCTCTCCAGGAACCATCATTCTGTGATCCTCTGTTCTCCATGGTTATATTAACTGGGCCAGAGCTGCCTATTACCCTGTGGAGAGGTCTTCCCATCACTCCTCCAGGCACCAGACATTTATCTCCTCGAAACACCCTTTCCTCTGATTAAGAAGGCACTGTAGCTCTTAAGTGCCTATCAGAGCTCCTAGCATAGAGTTCAAGGACTTCCTCCTCCCTCATCCAACCTGTCTCACAATTTCTCAAATCAGGTTCTCATCCCAATCAAGCTGAGACTCCTTACTGGCCCTGACACCTATACCACATTTGCCCCTATCCAGACAGGTGCCCATGCTGCTGCCCTGCCCAGGACATGTGCTCTTAAACCACATTCAAATTTCTCAGGATTCCAGCTAAAAGCCACTCCTACCATGAACACATCTTCCATCTTCTCAGAATTTCAAAGCCTCTAGTTTCTCCATATTTGTAAACATTTCTCCCAAGTAGATATACATGGCTACTGATGACATAAGTTTAAGGAAAGAGTATGTGTGTATTCACTAATTGCTTTGTGTGCATGTACACTGTACATGTAGAGCTCACCTCCCTCCTCCCAAGGGTAGAAACAGAGAAACCCCATCCCAAACTCATTTGCACCCTTCCCCCCCCTCCAGGACACTGAGTAGCTGGCAGAGAACTGGCCACACAGTAATGCAGAAAGATAGGGTTTTATTGGACTGTCACTGTACTACGTGTCAGTCATATTCACATAAGTGTTAGAATGTAATCACTATGATAATTCTGTGAGTGTAGTCTAATTACCAGGGAACCAGGCTCAAAGAGTCATTGCCCAAAATTGGACCATAGGTAACAGGTAAATCTCAGATAGAAGTATCCATCACCCTGACTACATCCTGATCTCTTCCTTCTGACGTGTGGGAGTACTGAGCTGTGTAGCATCTTCTAGTATTCACATTTAGTGTTCATCTTCTCCTAATTACCCCAACCCAGGACTCAGGACACCTGAGCAACTCAACCGACATCTGATCCAGTCAACACACCAGACGCCAGGGAAGGGTTTGACCCTGCAGTGATTTGTTACCTCCACATAAGAAAGTACTTACATATTCACTTACCTAGGCACTTTTCCCCTGTACTGTCTTTTGAAAGAGAATTCATCTACCTTTCATTCTTTTTACCCCAGGGGCCATTCTGCCTGTCACCTTGAGCTCTGGAAGATATCTGTTTAGAGAGCCTGCCTGAGTATTTGCTTATTTCAGAAAGGAGTATGGCAACAATTATCAGCTGTAATTGGTGTGGCCTTATAAAATCCACACTGGGCTTTCCAGGGACAAGGCAGTGTCATGTTAAAGCTAGATTATATTGACATATGCAAAGAGGGGGATGCAGAGAGCTTGTGCTTGTGCACGAATCCACAGGCAAGTCAAACCGAGGTTAACAAGTACATGGAAACTGTCTAACCACAAATTATAAGCACTTACTGTGTTCCTGGTACTATTCAAGGAACTGTGAAAGAAGATAAAAGGAGAAAAATGAGCCTTGTTTTCAAAATCCTGAATCAACTAAGATTTTTCCGATTCTCCAGATTTTTCCTCTGGTAGTAAATGATGGGATGATATTAAAGACTAAAGAATTATCAGGATAAGTGCGATATTCACCTGTCTTACTACATCTAAGATCTTTTTGGGGAAAAAAAGTTTTCCCATGATGTACATAACTGTGTGCTGTCGACTCCACTCCTAAGCTCCTTACCTTCCCCCAAATAGCTGGTGCTCAGTCAGTGTTAGTTGAATTAAATATGGATAAATATAAAGCACATTTTTATTACACTGCCAATTTGCTGAATGACTTGGAGAAAAGCTGTTAATGTCTCTTCTTTGCAATTTTCAAAACTAAATGTGTGTTCTATGGCTGGTAAAGCAGAATATTAAATGTGCATTGCTGCGTGGGTTATTAAGTTAGTGTCTTAGTTCTTTACTCACCTTTCCATGCTCTCTGCTTTGTGGTGCTAGGGCTGGAACTCTCCAAGCCACGACTTCTCCTTTTCCAACTGACTCAGCTCTGATTAGATTCTGCCCATAAAATGTACTAGAATTAGACCAGGAGATAGGAGGAGGGAGAAGATACTCATTCCTTTTACCTCCCAGCCTTATTACACCCCTTCACACATATCAGTGTCACTGAGCAGCATCCCCTTCTCCGAGGTGTGAGTCCCAGGTGTCAGGACAGGGAAACAAGGGCTCCTCCTTGGAGCTCCTGAGGCCCCAATCCCAGGAGCAACACTCCCTCCTTCGATGCCTCATATCCAGCCTTAGAGACACCTTCCAACCATTCACATGCCCAGAGCCCCAACCTCTGCCCTCTGTTGCCCCATCCAGAGGGGCACTGGCTACTTTCCCTAAAGTCATTCTTTCTGAGAGCTGAGCATTTCTCTTATGCCTCTTAGTCCTCCATATTAATTTCTCTCTGTTGCTTTTATTCCCTGACCAGATCTTGAACTGATACAATTATATTCCTTGGAAATCAGTTCTGCATAGGCAGATCCGACCCCTTCGTAGCAGACAGCTCCCCGCTTCCCTGAGGCTGTTCCTCCTTCTGCCCTTCCTGCACCCACACATGTATAAATGTGTGCTCAGAAGCTACCCAAAAGGTGCTTGCTAGTCCTTTTAAAAGGAATGTAGCACAGTTCCACAAAAACTCTTTAGCCCTACCCAAACTCTTCTCCCAGTAAAATTTCAATGAGCATATACTACGTCAGGATCCACACTAATATGATGGTCTCACAGTCCCTGCCTTCAAGGAACGCACAGTCTAGGAGTTCCCAACACATATAAAAGCAAAGTTAACAAAAAGGAGCTTTAGGCCAGACCATGTGACAGCCATCACCCCATGTGACCCCTGTTATCAAATGTGATCCCTTGTTAACAAAGTTAACAAATAGGAGCTTTAGGCCAGACCCCATGTGACAGCTGTCACCCCATGTGACCACCCTGATGAGCCTGGCTGTCCCCTCCAGCAGCAGAGTTGAGCTTCTGTGCTTACTAAGCACTCTCCTGAGCACTTACACTTGGCCTGTGATGATCACAAGTACTTAGGTTTTTAGATGACAAATAGAGTACCTCAAACTAGTCCTGGGTAATCCTTTATGTCAGCTTCTACTCTCCCCCCAAACTGTCAGGCCCTAAATGAACCTATTTCATTCTAAGTCCTATGCCACATGCCTCAAAATTGCATACATACATATTATATGTAAACAAACAGGCACATATATTCACATATATTTTTACATTAAAACACATCCTGAGATCCTTGTCCTTCTCTTCCTGATTCTGTTCCTTTGCCTGGGAACACAGTTCCAAACGGAATGAATTTTCATTTTTCTGTACCCACATCCCAATAATATGAAATGGCTTTCTATTCTACACAATAAGAGCTGGACATCTCTACTTTTTTTATCTTCATAAATAGAAGATTTGGCCTGTAGGGAAAAAAAAAAAAGAAGAAAGAAAAAGAATGATAGTACTGTATATGGAATGAGGAAATGTGAGAAAATCATATTCTAAATAGAATACTTTAAGCGGAAAATAAAATCCACAGCTATTTTTTCAGTCAATTTTATTCTCTTATTTCCCTTCTCTAGATAAGACACAGCTGAGTTCCTCCAGGCAGCAAAATCGTTGCCTACATGATTTGGCCATGAGTCAATGGGAGATCAGCTCACAGCCAGCCACAACCTCCAAACCCAGCCCTGTCGGAAAATGTTGTGAATCCATTTTCAGGTGTCTCATGGGTGTCCCTGCCATTTACTCTCAGAGTTACTGTCCCAGATATGCTTCAGGCAGTCTTCTGCAGCTTCTACTGTTGGACTATGCATAACAAAAAAGCCAACAGGTTGTTTTTGCCTTCTCTGCTGCAGTCCTGGAGGTTTGAGGGGAGGAGAGAAGAGCTGAGTGTGTTAATGCCCTTTCTCTATGCATGTATGGCATCACTGTAATAGGCCCCAGTGACAGCATTCCTATTATGGGAAAATACTGTGCTTTATGTACATTAATCTCTAACGATCCCAGCAACCCTTCAGAGTAATTATTAGTGTTCTTCTCCACGTTATAATGTGAGGAAATTAACAGTTCCAAACATAAAATAATTTGGCAAGGGCCTCAATTTATAACCGAAATAGACCATGTTCAGGCCAGATATTTTGTCCTTACCACTTTAAACCTAAAACTGGTCATCTGTTTTATAAACTAATCTCATGCCATTGCTGAACTGTGAAAGTGCTAACAATCCAGGCAACAAGAGATTTAGTGGTGGCTGACTAAATTTAATTCATTTATGTTGCCCCCTTTAGAAAGAGCCAAAGAAACCATACCTATAGGACAGCACAAATTTCCAGAGTTCTTGCCACTCACACACATTGTCTACAACAAGATACTATACAGAAATGTTCTAGGCCTGAGATAAAAAATAGGACTCCTGGACTCCTCATGAGAGTTATTATAAAGCAACCTGGCAGAAAGTATAGTGGCTGGGCAGATAAAAGAATGTCCCCAACACACCTTCCACACACAGATTTAAGTGACTCAAATTACATATCCAGAAATGGTCCTACCTAAAGGAGAGAAATATTGATATAAAGAATAATAACCAGCAGTTAAATTCCACTGGCACTTGAAACATAAGGAAACATATTCCCCCAGAATGAAACTGAAGAACTGGGGTCACAGAATCAGAGAATTCTAAGAGTCAGAGGTCATGTACTATTCCCACCACAGGGGCCTTAACCTACTGATGAATCACTTCATCAGCTTTCCAGCCAACATGAATCATCATAAATATTTTTGATACTACAAAAATTAATTTATAGCAATTTTTAACAATATTTAGGCTTGCCATTTTATTATTTTTTCTTAAATGGAAAGGCAATGTTCCTTCCTGTGAGACTTGCTCTTATTCTCACTTTGGAGAATCTGTACTTTCCAGAGTTCCTGTTTTCTATACTTCTTAGAAGAATTTTAAAAAATAATAGAAGATACTGAATGTCATGTGGAAAAACTTTACTTATTCATAAACCTACATTTGTTCCTTGATATGATCATGTTCAATGCATACCAGCTCTTTGTAGACAGATGTCTTAAATACTGAGTGAAAAAAAAAAAATCTTCCTGTGTGAGGGAAGGTCTTAAGTTTGTACAAAACTGAAAATCCATTTATTTCCAACTTCTTTCATTGTATCCATAATGAAAAGTTGGTGTTTTTTCCTCCCCAGCTTCATTCAGATATGGACAGAGGAGACGGATCCATCAAATACATCCTCTCAGGAGAGGGTGCAGGCATCGTATTTACCATTGACGACACCACTGGAGACATCCACGCCATTCAGAGGCTCGATCGAGAGGAGAGAGCCCAGTATACGTTACGGGCTCAAGCCCTAGACAGGCGAACAGGCAGGCCGATGGAGCCAGAGTCAGAATTCATCATCAAAATCCAAGACATCAATGATAATGAGCCCAAGTTCCTGGACGGACCTTATGTTGCCACTGTGCCCGAAATGTCACCAGTGGGTAAGGAGGTGATTCACTCATTTTCACCAACAGTAGTTGCTCTACAGAAAAGTCTTTCTCTCTCTCAATCTTGCATACACACACACGCACGTGCATGCATGCACATATACAAAGAAGGGGAGGATGTGAGATATGGCTTACAAATTGTAAAACTGAACCAAAATGGCAGACATTAGATGAGCCACAGTAAATAATAATTAAAAGGATATTAACTGTTTTTAAACTCTGATTCTTTAAAAACAAAAGATTAAGTAGACAGAAAAATAGAGGGATAATATTTGCTTCATAAGGAAGAAGTAGTTTCGTATTATCAAAAGAACAATGAAGAGCCCACAGGCTGTGTTGTCCTTACAGGTTATTAGGAATTCAAACTCAAATAACTCTTACCCCCACTAAATGGGTACAAGATGGGAACTATGGAAACTGGACCTAGAAAGGGGACGAGGAAGCAAACAGGATGCTTGCAAACGCTCTACTACTGCCCAGTCAGGATGCATCCAGCCTGTAGCCACTGGACCTAAACAGGTTCCTGCCACTTCTCTTCCTCAGGTACCTCTGTTATCCAGGTGACAGCCACAGATGCTGATGATCCAACCTACGGCAACAGTGCTCGGGTCGTGTACAGCATTCTCCAGGGCCAGCCATACTTTTCTGTGGACTCCAAATCAGGTATCTGGTGCAAGGGGTTGAGTAGGGGTGTTTGTTTTATACCCTAACAATTTATGGCTGCTGTTATAACTGACCCAACTCTCAAGGACTCTCCAGGGTGTATATTAACTAAAGAAGATTGTTAAGAGCTGTAGAATTAAGAGAGCAAACTAGCACTGCCCTGGGTAAGACCAGTGCTATGTCCATGTCCAGTGTATAGGACCTGACTATCCAAAAAATAGCTTCTCATTAGCCTTCCAAAAATCCTATGATTATATTTATTCCCAGGGACTAAAGTCTTTTTGAACTCCAAGAAGACTTGAGAGGGAAGATACATTCACCTGGGCTCACCAGAGAACCAGAATAATTGATTATGAAACTAGAAGGGCCATAGGGGAAAGTCCATCACTGCTAACAGAGAAACTGAGAGCTAAGAAAGTTTGTCTGGTGGAGACTGACCCCTTGACATGTGCTCTGATGTTCTTTCCACTGAACCACTCTGCAACAAGCAGAGAACAAAGCCAGAAGGAATGGTTACTAGGCAAAGAGGTGTTGATGAAGGAGGAAAGAGCAAAGGGATGTGACCCCCAAAAAGGTAGGTCTCTGCTGGGAAGCTTCAACTGGGAAGACAGCAGAGAAAACTGAATGGGGAAGGAGCAATGACAGTAGAGAAAACTGAATGGGGCAGAAGCAATGTGGCAGGGAAGGCAAACTAACAGAAGTTTAGGGTTTTGTCTGGTTTTTTTGTTTCCATTTTACCCAAGAGCTTTGACTACAGAATTTATGTTTCAATCTGTGAAGGGTTCCCTATAATACACTTGAGTTGGGCCAAATAATTATTATATCGTTATCTTGCACTTGTGCCAGGCTTTCACCCTTGTAAAATCCTTTCATGAACATTACCATATTTGAGCCTCCAAATAATCTTATGAACTAGCAAAATATCTGAGAAGTATTTTTACTCCCATCTTATATAAAACAGAGGACCTAAGAGTAATTAACAAGGAACTTGAAACATACAGCCATAGAGTGAAGTTAATGATGAACATTCAAAGTCACCTCTTTATTTGAAAAAAGAAAAACCACAGTTCTATTATTAGCAACTTGACAGAATTTTTTCTCCCAGAAGTCCTAAGGGGAACGAGACATTCAGAAAATTGTATCATAAAAGTAGTAAGTGAGGGAGTATAAATTAGCAGGAGGAAAGAAAATGATTGCAGTCACAGACTTCTATAAGGCAGTGACTTTAACAGTTCTGCTAATGGGGGAAGGAAAAAGGAAGAGTTGCCCAAAGGGAAGAAAAATACAGACTGAGAGAAGGTCATGTGTCCTTTATATCCTAAGAAGCATCTTAACATGATTTTGACAGCTCCCAGGGGGCATCTGTAGTGTTAAGGTCAAAAATACATGAAAAGATAGTTATTGCTGTGCCCAAGGGGGCATGTAAAAAAAGGAAAATGCTACATATTTCACTTGAGAATGTTAATACTACTATACAATAAATGCATTTCAGGACTAAACTGTGGCCACACTGTTCCCAGTCCCTTCCCTTGTCATGCAATAGGTCTGTTTATCCAAGGGTCATGTAAACCTGCAGTAAGTTAAGCCTTTAATCTTTGCCTAGAATGTATAGAAGCCAACGTTTCTAAGTTGAAGGGTTAAAAGGGAGATAAAAAATTCTTCACATCCTTGGCAGGAACAGCAATACATTTTAGTGGATTTTGATTTCGATCCCTCTCCTTAAATGAAATCATGTCATCGCACTGCAATGCTGCTACCGTCTGGGGATGTGCATTTCTTATGCACGGTAAAATAGAAACAGCTCGAAGAGCATCTTTTATGTCCTAGCTCACGGAATTCAGCAAAGCACAGAGGTAAACAGGAGAACATAACAAAACAGAATGAATATCTAACAAAAGGAAAATCCAATCAGAATTCCAATCCTGCTTATGGGTACTGGGGAGGCCAGACAAAGCAGAACAGGAGTGAGCTAGCAAAAAGAGTCATTCACACTATAAGGGCTCTAGGGGATGAAGAACTCTAGGAGAATTCTTAAATTCACACATTTGTAGACATCTGAGGCTTTCTTTTCTGGATCCAAAGCCCCAGTTTTCTTTGGTGAGACATAGCAATCTGAACTCACCTTGGACTGCAGTTCCCCAGGTCTGTCAGAGAACCACTGCTGCCACCTCCTGTCCACTTTCCGTAATGCTTCTGGAGGAGAACAGCAAATTTTGGTTTCTTTAATCTTAAGTGTAATAAAACACAGTAACTTTTAAAAATTTTCTTTTTAAAAACCACGGTGACTTGCATCTCAATTCTAAACATTAACAGTACATGAGGGAGAAACAAAAAAAAGTCTTTTAAAAACTAGATCTACAGTTTTGTTTTTAAAAACAAAGTCGTTCCTATCCTGCAGGTGTAATTAGGACAGCACTCATGAACATGGACAGAGAAGCAAAAGAATACTATGAAGTGATCATTCAAGCCAAGGACATGGGAGGGCAGCTTGGAGGATTAGCAGGGACCACAACGGTCAACATCACCCTCTCGGACGTCAATGACAACCCACCCCGCTTTCCTCAGAGTGAGTACCTAACCAAGGCCAGCACAGAGCTCAGACCAGAGGGAGGCACCTGTTACAGAGGTGCAAGAGAAAGGCCAGTCTGAGCTTCCTCAGTAAACTCCATTATTCGTGGATTTCTTTTCTACGTTCATAATGGAATTCTCACGTAACCGTTTCCTTTCTGGGTCCCCGCTTCCTATAGTAATAAAAAATCATTATCTCCTCCCTATGAAGCCTTCTTAGACTTTTTTTTCTGATTGCCACACTCCACATAAAATAAAATTCTAAGGAATAAGATTAGCTGGGTAAATTTGAACTTTGGTGGGCCAGGAACTGTTGTAATACTTGAGATGTTTTTCACCACACTTCCCCTCAAACAATTTATTTTTGCCCATCTCCCCAGGGGATGACATTGCCCTCCTGAGCACGCATGTGCTGAAACTCAGCCAAAGCTGTCAACAGCACATCCACCCATATGACCAACTTAATCAGTTCACAAGAGGCACCCAAGCACAGGGCTCTGGGCATGAGGGGCTCAAGATACTCCAAACCCAGTCCCTGTCCCTGTGAAGCTTAAAATCCATTTGTGGAGGGCACATTCTACACACAGGAAAAGTTAACCAATAAGCAGCACTCACGTACCTCTTGGATAGCAAAAAATGATGCCCTTACAATAAGCCAAAAGAATGAAGGGCACAGAAGAATGAGAACTCAACAGGGGATTGGACAAGTATAAAGGATTTATGCAAGCAGAAAGGAAAACATTCCAAAAGGGGGAAGCCATTCGTTCATTTGAAAAACAATTGTTCTAGGCACCATTCTTGGTATGGGACACAGAGCAGCACACAGAACAAATAAAATCTCTGCTGTCTTAGAGCTCATTTGAGTAGAATCCTGCATGTGAGAAAGATATAGATCTATTAAGGACTGGAAATAAAATTGCTGATGTCATTTTATGTCCAAAGACCCTTAAATCAAGGTCTGCTCTTGCAAATATGTTGTATGTAATATTTCTATTGGGAGCCATAGAAAAGTTTTTGAGCAAGAGAGAGACAGAAAGAAAGGCTAATTTGGCAGCCGTGTACAGGATGGGCTGGCCAGGGCAGGGAGCCCAAAAGCAAGGAGTCTGTTAGGAGGCATTTATAGTGATCCAGATTTGAACTGATAAAGACTTAACGACACATGGCAGGACTACAGTGGGACACATAGGAAGAAGACATGGGCTTCTGCCTTCTGATTTGTCAAGAGAACTGAGGCAGAGAGGGTGGAGTCAAAGATAATGACGTTTTAAGTGTGAGTGACAGGGAAAAGGACTGTGCTACTAACAGAAATAGAGGATACATAATGGAACTAGTGGCAGCGAAGGAGGAAGACAAATTCAGATTTGAATATGAAGTGACAGCAGGACAACCAGGTAGAAATGTCCTTAAGGAAGGTGGAAATATAGAGCTTTGACTGTGGAACGGAGCCTGGGAATGGAGACGTGCATTCAAGCAGCAGACGCCTGAAGGGAGTAGCTGGAGAAATGAGAACAGGAGGCACAATTCCAAGTGAAAGATTTAACCAGGGAAATGAGGTCTTAAAAAAAACTAAACTAGTAACAGAGTCAAGCCAGACTAACAGCTGAATAGCTGCATTTTAAATTAGCCAGACCAAGTCAACCTTTCATTGTTATCAATGTAAACACAGAAAGAAAGCTCAACTATTCACATGCAACTGGTATACACAAGGTCCCCATCAACCATGGTAGAAAAGGGAAAGGATGCCAGAGGAGTATTTCACAAAGAGACCAAGTAAGTAGGTAACTAAGTTCATTGTTTCTACAATACAGACCATGAGAGCACCATGGAATGGTTTGGAAATGCCATGTGAATGGACTTTTTGTTGCTTTGCTGATACTAGGGGTTACAGGGATTTGTAAATATTGAGGGGGAGTCACTTCACCACAAGTGTGGCAGCTTCACAACAGCAGAACGCAATACAAGGATAACCAGGGTTTTCCTCTTGCCCCTCAAACCAATATTGTAACACCATTCTGAAGCACGCATTTTGAGTTGTTTTTTCAAAATGCAGTAATAATGGAGAATCTAGGATAGAGTTTTTGAAAGTATGGATTATGTTTCATGGAAGACACAATGGAAATGTATAAAGTAATCTAAATCCCTTTGTCTCTAAGCATTCTTCACACATTATCTCTGCTTCCTCTAAAATGGTCATTATTTTTGGACTTTAAAAATTTGCTTTATCGCACCATTAAATATTTCCCAATCTATTTACTAAAACTAAATTTAGATGATCTCAACATTCCCTAAACCTATCTTAGATATACTTTTTTGCCTTATTAATCACCTGATTCCTCATGGAAGCAATTCCATTTTGCTTTTTCAGAAATATCACCTACCATAACTGATTATGACATGTTGAAAAAAATGATACTATTTTACCTCAGTTATCTTTAATTTAATGCAATAAAATGGAATATCAAGAGCTCAAGCTATTATTTCTAATATAATTCATATTTGTATGTGTGTATTTAAACATATAATGTAGCTTTCCTGAGGTGGGGAAAGTTGTAGGTAGTCTTGTTTGTTTTTACCAAAAGTTCTAAAATAACAAAGTGCAATCCATCAACAACTTTGGAAGTGAATGGAAAGAGATCATGAAATCGAACTACCTGCCAACACAGTGCAGACAATTAAAGACTTCCTCGCTAGTATTTGTAAAGAACAGGCATCGTTTCTTCTCCTGTGCAAGACAGGGTACTGTGAGCTGGCTGGGTGCTGTCAGCCTCCCTGAATCTTTGTGAAACTCGAGCCTTCACACCCCAGGCTTTCCCATAGTTTACAAAGCATATCAGAATAAAAGAGATCTCCTACATGCCGAAAATGAGATTATGTGATTGTTATTTGTTATTTACTCAGTCACATCATGATTAACAAAGTAACAAAGAATGTCAAAAAGTTAAGCCCTAGAAAAGGTTAAGTTGGCAAAGATACAACTTTATGGAGTTAAAAATGAACTAAATTTAACTGTAAATTCAGGATATTGAGTCAAAAAGGACAATATTACCAACTCTGAATTTCTTACCCATGTGAACACTTTTTTGGTATTTTATGCTGGGAACAAGAGAACAAGAAGCCTCAGGGATCTGTCCATGACAAGACAGCCAATGGGCAATCTGAGGTCCAAGGACCCAGACGGACAACACGTGGAGCTGTGGGGCTTGCTCTCTGAGTGGCTGTTACTCTGTAGACCACTGCTCTCCACCACTGCTGAGCAGGGGAAAGGTCGTAGAGCAGGACATGCAGCACACTGGCCCGGCCATGCAGGTAAAGTGTGCATTTGAAATGTAAAACAGAATAAATGCGTTTTCTGTCTTACTCAGCTAGAATTTGCATTTGAGGAAGTATTTCAGTTCATTACAAAGTACCAAAAGATTGGAAAGCAAGGTATTTCCCACCATTCTGAAGGTAGATTCACTAAGATAAGAAATAGTTTTATTTCATCCTGTCCTGTTGTCAGGATATGGCTGAGCCATTTTGACTCTTCCTCATTAAACATCCAGTACAGGCTATGATCTGTATGATCGCTGGCTCAGCCTCTCGGGATCTCAATTTTCATGTCTAAAATTCTAGTTTTAATCTTTGAACCAAGAAAAAAGATGCTTTGCACAACAGGCCTGATATGATGTAATAATGATGAGGCTTTTTTTTATAGTAACAGATTATCAAGAATGTTCTTGCTTTTTTCATAGAACATTATCAGATGAGTGTGTTGGAATCAGCTCCAATTAGCTCCACTGTGGGGAGAGTGTTTGCCAAGGACTTGGATGAAGGAATCAACGCAGAGATGAAATACACTATTGTGGATGGAGATGGTGCAGACACCTTTGACATCAGCACAGATCCCAATTTCCAAGTTGGCATCATAACTGTGAAGAAGGTAACCCAACTCTTTTCTCCAAATCATTTTCATGGGTGCTGTTAATATATATAAAATGCTAATAAGGACTGTTTTGCACATACTATTTATAGGTAATGCTTCAAATCCTTTGATAAAAGCTCTTTCCTTTTATTAAAAGAAAAAGTCCTCTTATTCTCTTATTTACATATAAACACGGGTTATGCCATCATTTAACCAAAAAGGTACCAGGTTGGGTGGCACCTGTGGCTCAAGGAGTAGGGTGCCAGCCCCATATACTGGGGGTGGCAGATTCGAGCCCAGCCCTGGCCAAAACTCTAAAAAATTTATTATAAATTTATCATTTCTACTACTTAGCCACTTAAAAACTGTTGTAACTTAAATCTATGATGAATGATATTAATGATTTGATCAATATTTGCACTTGAATACACATATTTTATCATAGTGTACCATAAACATCAATAAAGCAAGCTATGATATTATTTGTCAATCAATAAATAACATGCAGGGATTTTTAATTGCTTCTCAAAGATTATAAATGCTAATTAAACTTGAAAAAAGCTTTGTCAAACATAGTTGCTGAATGATTGTTATCACTTGAAACTCCTTGTTCTTGTGGTAAGGTCCCAAGTTTCTGAATGTAAGCTATTGATGCTTTCTGTGACATAAAGTACATATGCATATATTCATTTGAAAGATAACACTTTTTAAAAATTGAAGCTTTAACACCCTAGTAAATACATATGTAATGAAATGCATTAATTTTAAAACTTGTTGATTTAATTATCCTTCTCTATTCTGAACATGCTTAAAAACACAATATATCTTAAATTACTTTTCCAGCAAATATAGTAATTATTGTCAACTATGTGCCAAGTATAGTTTTAGGTCATATAAATAAACTAAATAACCCAAAATTTCTGTTCTCATGGATCTTACATTTTACTAAGGAAAATCACAACAGCAAATTATGTCAACAAAGTATTATATTAGAAGGTGAAAACTGTGATGGGAGAGGAACAAAACAGAATAAGAGAAATTAGGAGAGCCAACATTACTTCAAATTTAAATTGGGTGATTGGCCTCACAGAAAAGGGACATTTATGCAAAGACTTAAAGTGAGCAGAGACACAGCAGAGAGTCAGGCAAATTAACAGTGCACAACCCTAGAAAGTGTCCTATAAATGACTTTTGGTAAGAAGTATATATGGCAGCTCTGGAGAGAAAAGATGGGCATGGATCTATTGAGGAAAGTGTTCTAGGCAAAAGACAGCCATTGCAAAGGCCCTAGGTGGTACTATGCTGTGTTTCAAGAAGAGTAAGAGAATTTATAAGGCTTAACAGAGGAGGGAACTCTCAGGAGATAAGATTAGACACGTAACAAAGGGGCCAGATCCGTAAGACCATACAAGGTGACTGTAAGGACTTTGATTTATACTCTGAGTAAAGTGGGAATGACTGGAGGATGTTAACAGACGTGTACACAACTGGGCTTTCATTATCAAATAGTTACTCTGTAGGCTGTGCTGGAGGAAAAATAAAACAAAACATAAGAAAATAAGAATAGAAACAGAAAGACCAATTGAGAAACTACTGCAATAATAAGCATGGAGGATCAGGGAGACAGGAGGGGGTCAAGGGAACACATGTCCTGAAGACATGAAGAAAAGTGTGTCCAAGCGAAGGGAGTGATCACCTGTGACATACCGCTGTGGGTCAAGAAAGAGCAGGTCATTGATAACCTTGGCAAAAGCAACGAAGTCCTAAGTTAAATGTGGTACAAGTTAGTGTGTGTTTATAATAACTTTATTCTATTTCCTAGAACTGAAATAACACTGCTTTAGAAGGTAAACACTGCTTTAGAAATCAGTTCACACGCTTGCTGTGTATTTAAGGGGCCATTAATAGACATATCCAGAACGCTACCAATCAGAGATCTTTATAGCTAGCACACAGTGACCTCAAAACAGTGCAAAATCAACTTCTAAATCATCAAATAAATCTAGGTGTGGTTAAACTGTCACTTCTTATTTTATTCTCATTCTTCGAGAATAACACAGACTACAATTATAAAAGGTGACTAAAAATAATAATACCTATTTGGTGTACCACATGGCTACATACCCCTACACTGTGGTATGCCTCGAGTTAATAATAAATTACTAACCATGAGTACTAACTGTAAATAAAGAAAAAGCGCAAAGTTTTGAATAATTATTATTTCTTTAATACAAAAACTCTATTTAAAAAGCAAGCAAGCAAGCAAATTTGGGGATTCTCATTATTGAAATTTTATTTTATATCTTAACAAAGAAAATAATTCAAAATAATACTGATAATATAGGTATATAATAATAATGGTATTAATGTTAATTTATGTGAAATTATCACAACATAGCTTATAAGCCATTTATTTTTAAAAAACTACTAGCTATTATAATTCTGTATGGAAAGAAATCTCAAAATGTCTTTTCTCCAGCTCCCTTACCTGAAGGAAAGATGAAACCTCTTAAGACAGAAGACTGTATTTCATTGTAATTACTAAAACTTTATCCATGTTTAATCAAAATATATATCAGTTTTGCCAAACGTCATTTTTATTTCGCTTCTGAACTCATGAGCTGCCAGAAAATGGAATTAAGAAAAGAAGTCAATAAGTTGGGCAGATGAACAAATCACATATAATAAATACTTTAGAGTCTATTGACTGCTCAAGCTATGCCTTTGAAACAACATTCACTCAGACGTCTGATCCACACTCATCTTCCCAGTCTGTCATTAATAATGCCATATAAAATTGAAACAAAAGTTCTGCTTTTGATTTATTTCCCTTAGGCCTATTATTTGTCTGAAAAGCACATACTTTTTCAAAAAGAGAAATTAAGTTGAATTGATAGAATTGGGTCTTCATAAAACCACACTGATTACTACTCAGTATCTTGGGTCTTTTTAGCTTTTAAGTAATCAATCAATTGATTTTCAGTCTCTTAACTTAAATGCTTGAAATATATAATTTTCGGAATGTTCTTTATTCTGAACAAGCATGATGTTATGCCATTTTCTAGTTTTCAGCACGCCTTCCATCTTCTAGCAACAAGAAGCAATTGTTTAGAGTCCATTCTCCTCTTAGGCAGGTCACAAAGAACAAAAATTCTATATTTTATCAAATCTAAGATGCCATGAATTATAAATCTCATCATTTTACATACCACTTAAGAAAAATTCTTGCCAACTTAAATGATACAATGCTTTAATATTTCTTGGTTTACAGATATTTAAAAAGCTCCTGCAGACACAGACAAATTTACTTTACCAATGTCAGCTTCATTTCTGGCTGTTGTTTCCATTCTACCCCTACAAACCTTTGTTTCAAGGCCAAACCATAATACAAACTTTTTGAAGACATTTTAGAAGGCAGGAATGTTCAAAACATGCAGTACCAAAATGCAAGGAACTCAATTCAAGTGAAACAACATGAATGGCCTTGACCGTGTCTGACTTGCACAGGCAGTAAAAATTACATCCCATATCTCCTCTTGAACCTGTACCTATTGCAAGAGTCATCAATTGGAGAAGCAACCCCATTTCCAAAATGAAAAAATATGCATTGAGAATGTATAAGAATATAATTTTCTTATAAAATTTTTTAAAATTTTATATATATACATATGCTATACACACACACATACATACACCTACCATATAATCCTATAAACCCACTCCTGGGTATTTACCCACATGAAATGAAAACCTATGTTCCCACCTAAACTTATATATAAATGTTGATAGTAGATTTATTTATAACTCTCAGAAATTGGAAACAGTCCAAATATACCTCTAGTGGAGGATGGATAAATCAACTGCTGTACATCCATGCAATGGAATGCTACACTGCAATAAAAAAGAACAAACTACTGCACAGTTACATGGATGAAGCTCAGATGTGTCAGGCTAAGTGGAAGAAATCAGACTCAAAACATTCCTGCAAGAGGGACACAGCACAGAATGCACTGGGCAGAAGGGAAGAGGCTGACTACAAAGGGCACAGTTGGGAGTCACAAGGTCAGTTAGAGCTTAATTATCATTGGGGACATGTAACTGAATTATTTTGTAAAAACCTCCAAAACTAAGAAAGATTAATCATAATGCATGTAAATTACACCTCAATTTAAAAAACAGACACAAATTTCACACCAAATTAGAAAAATGACTTCAAATTAAGGGGCAAATTTTGCTTAGCTCAAACCTAACATAATCAAGAATGTCCACTTTCCATTACTCATACAGAAAGAAAGAATTTAAAAGAATGTGATGCAATGTTCCAGGAAAGAAAAATGTCTACAGTTAGGGCACAAGAATAAATACATTGGTGGAACAAAGCTAGTCCTTCGAATATCACATAATCTCAATGGTGGATTCCCCCAGTTATGAAAACCTTGCTTTTTGACAAATAAAGAAGGAGGCAGGCAGGCTGGTGGAAATGGGCTGCCTGGAAATGGAAATGGTTGACAACCCAGGAAGCAAGAAGCAGGATGTGTGGCATAAGTAAATCCTGAACACGGTAGCCAAACAACAGCAATGAAACAAAAAACAAAGTTGTTGCAGTCTGAACAAAGCAATTATATAAATGTACTAAATTATCATGTGTACCTTGAAAATATATATATACATATTATTTATCAAAAAAAAAATTAAGTTAAAAAAAGAAAATAATATATTTAAGTAACTCCTATAGATGTTTCTCAAACGGAAAGTAGTTGCTTAAATGGGACTGTGAAATGTCTGACATTCAGAATATTTTATGAAAAAAGTGATGTTTAGTTAAAAAACGGTAAGTAATTGCCATGTTGAAATATGACTTTTAAGTAGTAACTGCTTTGCCATCTCCTATAATTATTTTGTAGAATTTAACATCCCATTTTTTTAACTATTGATGTTTTAATTTTTGCTTAAAATACTTAACCATTTTTATCATTATTAAAAATGGATTTTGTAAATGGATTATTCTTCAGAAATAGCATTTCGTTTCACTTTGTGTCCTAAACTGCAATACTTAAACATTCCTCAAAATAAGGACAGATTAAAAATGGGAACAACCAAACATATATGTCTTATGAGTAGAATTTTTTATAGACAAAATTAAAGTCTTATGGATTAGCCCTGGATGAGGAATTCTTATACTTGGCCATCATTTCAGCTCCAACTACATAACCATGTCAGCTTATTCTGGTCTTCCGGGTTTGCTGGGGCTCAGTCTCTTCAACTATAAAATGAGGTGTCAAATTAGAATTTTCTATTAAAAAGGATCATCTGTGATCAACTAAACACACAAATAGTGATCTGATACAGTGCCCCGAGAACCCTTGTGAGGTACTTAATGATAGTTTTTTGGGAAGAATCACTACTGCCTTTTTACTCATGAAAAAAAAATTTTTCATGGGCATTCTGGAATACAAACTCATTCTTAACTGTCATGACATTTTTTCTCTTTCTTTTTTTTTTGAAACAGAGTCTCTCTTTTTTGTCCTCGGTGGAGTGCTATGGTGTCATAGCTCACAGCAACCTCAAACTCTTGGGCTCAAGTAATTCTCTTGGCTCAGTCTCCCAAGTAGCTGGGACTATAGGCACCCACCACAACACCTGACTATTTTGTGGTCTTGCTCTGGGTTAGGCTGGTCTCAAATCTGTGAGCTCAGGCAATCCACCCACCTTGGTCTCCCAGAGTGCTAGGATTACAGGCATGAGCCACTACGCCCAGCCTGTCATGACATCTTTTCAAATGAGCAAGTATCTCTAAAGATAGGGCGCCCTATTGTCCTGGTTTGCATGAGACAGAAACAATTCCCAGGAAATACAACTTTTCATTTTAGAAATGAGACAGTCCTAGGTAAAGCAGGCCCCAAACTGAGGGGGTTCCCAGGAATGTCTCTGAAGACCATGCTGATTAAAAAGAGCAGACGCAGTAGGGCTAAGGGCTCACACCTGTAATCCTAGCACTGTGGGGCCGAGGCAGGAGCATTGCTTGAGCTCAGAAATCCAAGACCAGCCTGAGCAAGAGGGAGACCCCCATCTCTATTAAAAATAGAAAAATTAGCCAGGCATTTTGGTGGGCACCCTGTAGCTGGTGGGGTCCCAGCTACTCAAAAGGTTGAAGCAGGAGGATCACTTGAATCCAGGAGTTTGAGGTTGCTGTGAGCTATGATGCTACAGCACTCCAGCCTGGGCAACAGAGTTGAGACTCTGTCACCAAAAAAAAAATAAATAAATAAACATGTAAAGCCAAGCGTGCCCAAGATAATTGCTTTCTTCATCACCCAACTGGCTTTCTTAACAATCTTTGAAATATCTGGCATTTTCTTTATCTTCCTTACTCAAAATGTTGAAAGTAATATTAAGACTTAACTGTGGAACAAAAAACAACTTCTGTTATTCCTCTACCTCTTTTCCGTCATTTTAATGTTTTGGGGAACCTTCCCACCAACCACCAATACCAGACATCCTTTTGAACCTTGACACATATGCTAGCGGCTAATCAATTTTCTTGTCATTACTTTACAGCCCCTGAGTTTTGAAAGCAAGAAGAGCTACACCTTAAAGGTGGAAGGAGCCAATCCTCACCTAGAGATGCGTTTCCTGAACCTCGGCCCGTTTCAGGACACAACCACAGTGCACATCAGTGTGGAGGATGTGGATGAGCCCCCTGTATTTGAACCTGCCTTTTACTTTGTGGAGGTACCTGAGGATGTGGCCATTGGAACAACCATACAGATCATTTCCGCTAAAGACCCAGATGTGACCAACAACTCAATCAGGTTTTTACGCAGATTTCACCTTTTCCTTATGTCCTGGACTCTTCTCTTTCCTTACGTGTCATTTTCTTGACTTTTCCCTTTGCATCTTCCTTCTCTATTCCATCTGGGAACACTTTCCTCTTTCTTAGAGATTTTTCTGTTTAAATAACACAGTCTTGTCACTTTCAACTAGTTCAGCCACTCGTGTACACACACACACACACACACACACACACACAATCTCTCTCCTTAGTTCTCAATTGTGGTCCTAAAGCCATGGGGCTGGATAATTCTGTGTTGTTGAGGGTGGCGTCCTGCACATTGAACGATGTTTACCTGCCTCTTTAGTGGCTTTTACCCACAAAATGCCAGTAGCTCCCCCAAAGTGGCAACAACCTAAAATGTCTCCAGATACTGCCAAATGTCCCAGGGAGGTGCTGCAAAATCTCACCCAGTTCAGTCGAGAACCACCAATTCAGATAAAGCTTAGTCAGTCACGCAAGCACAGATGTCAAAATGTTAAAACTGTTGACTCTTAGTGATGAATATAAAGGTGACCACTGCATATTCTTTCAACTTCTATGAACTTCTGACATTTTTTACTTTTTAAAAAGAGAGAAAATAACATGTATCATATGTATTCCCATATACTATAGAAAAAACAGGCATAGCAACTACTACTCTTGTCAATGGCTTCAACGCCATGCAGCCTGGCCAGACAGGGCTTTATACCACAATCCTACATGTCCGTTTCTCCACAGTACGTTTTAAAATAAAAGTTCTCACCTAGATGTTTCCCCGCAAGAAGAGAATTGCTTTTACAATCGGGGCCATTTTCCATCAATTCTGGAACCAAAGTGCAAATAGTGGGTAGACAGGTTGTCACCCCAACCTTCCAGAACAACTGCCAAGCCTCTGAAGCTTGCCACAAAAGATCAGGATTCCAAGGCTGTTTGAGGCCATCTGTCACATTAATTGTTGAAAGCCACACAGTAAAATTAATCTGGGGTTTTAGTGCAGATAACACATTTTAAATACACCTCAATTTATCAAATGCCTTCTCTGTCAGCTGGCTACTTCTCTTACCTGGTGCTATTTTGTATTTAATGAAAACATGCTTTTATAGTTTAACAAGAATGGTTCTCTCCAGGGAATAATCTGCTTCCTCTAACCAACTAGTAAACATTTTCCATGTTCTAGTATTAAAATGGCTAAAAAGAATTTATTTGAATTCTGATATTTTATCTTTCTATTATGAGTTATGACAACTTTATAGAAGTGATATTTCAACCTTAAGCTTTGTAAATGTAAGAGAATGGGGGTGCAGCAAATCTACATTGTCCCTAAAACATAAATAAAAATGAAGCAGATTCTATTGTGATATTTTTAGGAGCCAAGAATATATACCTTCTGATATTAATCTATTGATTATATATCTATTCATCTGTAATACTTGTATCTATTTATATCAGAGAAAATATTGTGGGGGGAAACTTTATCAAATAAAACTTTATGGGGGAAACTGAAATGCAACAAGCACAAATACCAGATCCCTTTCTAAAACCATCATAATATCCTATGGATAATTCCACATCTTTCCAGGTTCTGATTCTTGGTCTCTATGTGGTAAGCACTGGAAATAGGGTTTTGCTGGGAGTCACAGTACTGAATACAAAAAAGACCAAATACAGGAAACACACACACACACACCCCCTAGAGTGTATGTGCAATATTCAGGACTAAAATCATTACCTCAAGGCATATCTAGGAACGAAAGAGAAACACCAGCAGTTGTATATCCACTGCTGGCATGGAACAAAATGAGGTAGACAAAAAGGATTCCTGTCCAGCTAACAGAAAAATGTGGCTTCAGATGATGGGCCAGTTGAAAACTATCAGTTGCCAGCACATTAGTCAGTATTGGAGAGATCCATAATGGAATGTCTGCCTATTCCAGTAGAACCCAAGCCAGGATGAACTAATGGGTGAACAGGACACAAGCGTAGCTCATTGTCTATTGGGCTATTCTCAGGCAGGACTCTAGATCTTAGGTCCTGGCAAGAACAGGGCCACAGGCCTGAAGGTAAGAAGACCAATACTCAGATATAGGAGACAAAGAGAAATTCCAACTAGCAAACCTAGAATAATTCTTCCTCTGCATTTTGGCTGTGAAGAGAGAGCTGAATTCTTAGTGTTAGGGGTGAGGTCTGTGATTCCTTGCACTGTCCCACAGCAACAAAGAATAATCTCTAAATCCAAGAACAACATTGGAGATCCTAGACTCTCAGAGGGAAAAGCACCTAAAAGTTAAACCTTTGGCTATCATTTAATTGATCTATTTGAGAATTGCTTCTAATGTTATCTCTCAGCCAATTGCCTAGTTTATCCTTATTTTTCACATAGAAGTTATGTTCTTATAAAATAATTTGTATATATTATATGCTATGTGGCCATCTAATTCTTCTGCATTGCATTACAAAGAATAAACTGAAATTTGTATTTCTAAAAAGAAAATACCTATTAAATCACAAAAAAATCAATATATCACCTGAAGTTAAAAAGTTATGGATAAAAGGCCACTTAATATTTCTTAAAGATTATTAGGACTTTCATAATCTCCTTTCCAGAAAGTTGACGGTGTGTTCATGGTTAAGAAGCTAGTCATCATTCTCTGGTAAGCCCCAAAATGAAATCTCCATATTTTGCTATATGTGCATAAAAAAGACAATACTTGGATACCCAAAGAATTTCTGACAAGCAGGATATTGAACCATTTGGCAAATGAAACAGCCTTCCCTCCTGTGCCTGCCTAGAGTGTGTGTGGATTTTGCAAGCCTGCTCCTGACACTTAACCTCCAAATCACTTCCAAATTCAGAGAATGTCCTCAGCCAAGCAAACACTCAGGGAGGCTACAAACACCAGCTTCTGTTGGCTTATGGGAACTTGGTGTGTGCCTGTTATGCCAATTCTGCTCGCAGCAGGTGAACATATTATAGTTGAAAAGAAAGCCTCCTACATAATTTACTAGTGTGTCCCAATTCCCCATTTTCCTATCTACACCTTTCTGGTCCTCCCACCTCCGGAATATTGGCTGGACTTCCAAATTGCCTTCATTCACAGAAACAAGGCCATCTTCCCTCAAGTCTGGCCTCGTTTGGGAAATCAGAGAGGAATTCCCCTTGATGAGGGAGGTTTCTGGAAGAAAGTCTTCTGGTGTGTCAGCCAGCAGTGCTGTCAGGGGTACCGTCCGTTCGTTACTTCTATGCATCTCCCACGCGTCTGTGACAGTCCCCATGTTGCTGTGGGTGCAAGCGCAGAAAGCCGGTTTATCACAGCATCATGCCTCAGCATCATGATGAGCGGCTTGGAGAGCTGCCATCAGGGTTATGGCTCTGGAGACTGCTTGGCCGGGCTTTTCTCCTGAGTGGGAGTTGAAAGATAAGAGTATGAGCCAAACTATATTTTTTTTCTTAAGAGAAAGTTCAACCTAAAATAGCCAGGAAATTTTAAAATTGAATCATGAATTATACCTAAAGAAAAAAATAGTAATCCACCTAATGGATTCTAAATGAACTTTACAGGCATGAGTTTCTTCTTTATTAAAACATCACCTCTTAGCTATCATACTTATCTTTAAGAGATAGTTTTGTTTCCTTAAACAATTTCATACAATCCACGTAACATTAAGGCAGCATGGTCTGGTGGTTAGGAGCATAGACCTGAAGCAAGACTGCCGATGCTTGATTCCCAGCAGTGTGACTTCGGGCAAGTAAACTAACCTCTTCATGCCTCAGTCTTCTCACCTGTAAAATGAGGATGATACATCACAGTGTTGTTGTAAAGATGAGATGAACCAATATATGTAAAATATGCTGAGTAGTGCCTGGCATATAAGAGATGTTCGTTAAATAGGGTCAGAAGCAGAGACAGGCAGTAATTTGCTTTCTTAAATTTCCTGACTCTTAGGAAGTCATAACTAAAATGATTCCTACTTCTCCAGCCCTTATTTATCAGCTAGCTCTTTAATTCCTGGCTCTATGAAAAGCCATCCTGAGTCTGTGCAGAAAAAAGAAGTACATGAAATGTTTGAGACAACATTTTGCCAGGGGCTGGCCTGGTGGCTCACACCTGTTATACTGGCATTCTGGGAGGGAGTGGCAGGTGGACTGCTATGCTCAGGAGTTCAAGACCAGCCTGAGCAAGAGGAAGACCCTATCTCTAAAAAATAGTCACACATTGTGGTAGGCACCTATAGTCCCAGCTATTTGGGAGGCTGAGGCAAGAGGATCACTTGAGCCCAAGCATTTGAGGTTGCTATGAACTATGATGCCATGCCACTCTACCAAGGGCAATGAAAGTGAAAGTCTGTCTTTAAAAAAAAAAAAAAAACTTACCAAACACTGTATCTACCATATACTTGCATATGGCGTATGTATGTGTGTGTACGTATATTGGCTAGGATGGAGGGAAAAAAGAACCTTTGTACACTGTTGATGTTCAGAATATAAGTTAGTACAGTTGCTTTAGAAAACAGTATGGAGGTTTGTTAAAAAACTAAAAACAGAATTACTATATGATTCAGCAATCCCACTGCTGGACATATACACAAAAGAACTAAAATCATGCCTGCACTCCCACCTCCACTGTGGCGCTACTCACAACAGCCAAGATATGAAAACAATGTAGTGCCCCTCAACTGATAAATGGTTTTTGAAATGTGGTCTATATACACAATGGAATACTGTTCAGTCTTAAAAAATGAAATTCTGTAATTTACATATGAAAGAATCTAGAAGGCATTATGCGACATGCAATAAGCCAGGCACAAAACGATAAACACATAATCTCAAAACTCATAGAAACAGAGAGTACAAGAGTGGTTATCAGAGGCTGGGTGGTATATGGGGAAAGGGAGATGCTGGTCAAAAGGCATAAAATTTCAGCTAGAAAGAATAAGTTCTCGTGAGCTATTATTGCACAGAATGGAGACTACTATTAATAATGTACTGTGTATTTCAAAATTACTAAAAACACCACCAAAAAATGATAAATATGTGAGGTAATAGACACGTTAATCAGTTTGATTAGATCATTCTACAATGTATGTATGTATCAAAACATCCCAGTGTACCCCATAAATATATATAACTATTTGTCTATTAAAAATATAAAATAAAAATAATAATAATTACTGGCCTTTACCAAGAACTACATGAGATTCTCAGTGATGGTTCTCTATCATGACTATATACTGAAATTCCTTATGGAGGGTTTTGAACATAGAGATGCCTAGACCTCTGTCCATACTTACTGTTGCTTCCAAGACGGGGACCACATGAGATAACACAAAAGAAGTGGACGGCCAAGTCAGATTCAATACGAATTACAGATCCTTACCCAGGACTGAGTTAACTAATGACTCAAAGGATACAACAGCAAAATTCCAGGCAAATATGCTCCCCTTGAAGAGGTGTGACTCTGTCAGACACCAGTGCCTGTAAATATGCTTCTTCTCCTATATAAAAATGCACACTGGTCCAGAGTGAACATGAAAAGTGGAAGCAATGGATGAAGTGCATTGTCTGTTACTAGTAAGCCATTTTTGTTATGGAACATCGGCTTATTATATTCCATTGATTACACTGTTTATATGACATTTTCCAGCAGTATGTACCCTATAAATTTATAAACTCCATAAGTAACCTAGTCCTAACCTAGGTAAGGACTTCCCCGCCAGTAAACACACTAACTACCATTACTGTTTGCCAAGAGGTAAGTGATTAGCACAGTTACAAAGGGCCAGGTGCAAAGCTTTTCTTCCCAATAGATAATGCTAATTACAAAGACTGGGGGCACTAAACTCTATCTTTTCCCCCTTTAGATTAGCAGTTGATAACCCATTTGAATGAAATTACTTAGAACAAATGCAGGTAAGAGTCAATACTCAGGATGTCCCCAAATCCTTATAGTTTCAAGTGTTAAAGAGAGTAAATTAATCTCTAAATACCTTACAAATGACCTGAGACTACTGGCATACTATTTATTCCATTTTTTGAATGAGAAAACTGAAGTACTAACAGTTTTTTTTTTTTTTGTTTTGGAGGATTTTCTTGATTTTTGGTTTTGAACTTGCTAAAACCACAAATGCCATTTTCTAAGTATCCATAACGCGGAGCAGTGCAATCATGTTCCATATGGTCTGCCCTCAGTGCTCCTGTGCAGTATGCTGCCAGATGCCATCCAAGTGCAAATAACATACGTAATCTGTGTTTCTACAGATACTCCATTGACAGAAGCAGTGACCCTGGAAGATTTTTCTATGTGGATATTACAACAGGTGCCCTAATGACTGCAAGACCCCTAGACCGTGAAGAATTTTCTTGGCATAATATCACTGTCCTTGCTATGGAAATGAGTAAGTAGCACAATAAACTGGTCTCCATACGGTGACAAAATGTGTTGGAAAAAGTGGAAGTTTCTAGAACTGATAACAAAAAATTACATTATTTAAAGGAAGAAATGGAATTTAAAGTTTATGCAAGTAAGTGAATGCATTCAGTTCAAATAAACTCTTTAAGTGTCTCCTGTGTATTTAGTTCCGTGCACACAGAACACACAAAAGCAGAAAAAGACAGCGTTCTTACCCCCAGTGGCTATGTTGGAAAAGGGAAGATTCTTGAGAAATCTAAGAGACTTTAAATCTTTAATAAAATCATGACTGTGTAAATAGTATAAAACATTCTTATTAGATGAAGACTGATTTATAACATAAAATAGGAATTACAGATCCTTACCCAGGACTAGAAATACACACACATATCCATAAGAATTTGAGACATCTTACAATAAAAGATAGATTAATTGACTTACAAATTGAATGGGAAATTAATAAAAGCTAGAATAAATATTATAAACTTAATAAAAATTTAATTATAAACTACTACATTCAATTTTTTTCATAATATTTGGTGATGACAAGGGCTCAGGAAAATGGCAATCACTAACCCCACTGGCTATATAGCAAGGCACAGCAATTTAGGAGTGTAATTGGCAATACATATTAAGATTTCCCAAAATAGCCAGGCACAGTGGCTCACTCCTGTAATCCCAGCACTGTGAGAGGCCGAGGAGGGAGAACTGCTTGAGCTCAGGAGTTCAAGACTTGCCTGAGTGAGAGGGAGACCCCGACTCCTAGAAAAATGAAAAACCCAGCTGGGCACCATGGCAAGCGCCTGTAATCCCAGCAGCTTCTGGAGGCTAAGGCAGTGGGATGCCCACAACTAGAGTCTGAGGTTGCAGTAAGCTATGGTATCATTGCACTCTGCTCAGGGCATAGGGTAGCACTCTGTCTCAACAAACAGAAACAAAAAACAAACAACTAAGAAAAGCAAAGAAAAATAAGGAAATTTTAAAAAAAGATTTCCCAAAATATTCATATTCTTTTTCTCACGAATTCTACTGCTACTAATTATCAACAAAGAATTATATATGAAAATGTCTACTGCAGTATTATTTTAAAATAGGGAGGAAATGGCAAGTAATACTTACTTAATGTCTAGTAATAAGAGATTGACTAAATAAGTTATGGTACAACCTATTGTAAAAAAAGGGGGGGGTTTCATCTAGACCCTGCACACATGTTTTTTTTAAAGTTATGCAGTGACACAAGATAATCCTGTCCTAAAAGTTCTGAATCCAATTCTTTTATTCGCTTAACTGTAATCCTGTGTGTGTGAGAGAGAGAAAGAGAGAAAGAAAGAGTGTGTAGCTCTACAATTTTGGACACATATACTATATAATGTTACATATATAATTGTATCTCTGGTGGCAGGATCCTGGATCCTATTTTTCCTCTAAGTTTTTCAAGATATTTTCATTATTTCTTCCATATGCAAACAAATACCACTGTTAAAAAGACAAAATAAATTTTAATTACAATGGCACTTCCTGGTAACCAAGCAATAGAAGGATTTAGGGGGAAAATAGTACAGCATAGTGACTTTTAAAAAAGAAAAAAAACTGATCAGAAGAACAATGCATTCTGGGATTAGTAAAATTATTTACCAAAAATAATTTCTGTGTCTTGTTATTTCTATTTCAACTCCCTGGGGTGGTAACAAAAACAAAAAAAGACAAGAGGGGAGCCTGCTGGGGCTACAAAATTGTCTTATGTGTGGCAGTGCCAAGGAACCAAAACACCTTTCCCCAGAAGTAACTATGAGAACGCCCCAGCCAAAGGTATGGATTAGGTGTGTGTTTGATCCCATAGTATCCCCTTAGTCCCTAGGCAGGAATTAATGTGCAATGTTACCTGCATTCCAAGGAGTAACTTGAAATCTTTGGGAATATAATTCAAAGAGCTAATTATTCCACAGGAATGCTTGTGGTCAAGCATTTTGCCACATAGTATGCATCCAATTAGAAACAAGCTGGTTTAAAGCCCAGAATATAGAGTTGACCTGCCTTTCATTCCAGAACCTAAAGTATGAGCCAAGTAGGAGATTCAAAACTGGATTCATTTGTGACACTTTCTCCTCTCATACTCCTAATAGCAAACACACTAACACACTCTCCAACTCACACCTTGTTCTGCCAATGCTTTTGTCTGCCCACACTCTAAGTAGGTGACAAACACCTTATGCTTGTGTTACCATTTCAATGTACTTTATACAATTCCTTTAAAAACCAGACTGACCAAGTAAATACTGACTTCCAGCAAATAGTATTACTCTTTTTCCGCGTTACTGACCTTGTGTTTTGGTTCTGTGTTCTCTTTAGACAATCCCTCTCAGGTTGGAAGTGTTCCTGTCACAATCAAAGTCTTAGATGTGAATGACAATGCCCCAGAGTTCCCCAGATTCTATGAGGCTTTCGTCTGTGAGAATGCCAAAGTGGGACAGGTATGGCACCCTGTGAAAAGTGCTCCTTGGTTAACCCCTGGTGTGTGGAAACAACTGTTACAGGTAACCAAATTCTCCATCAAAGACATTTTGACTCCAGAAACTAACATTACCTAACAGAGTCTCCAAATTTTACAGATGAGGTCTCAACAGTGCACTTAATAAGACAACTATTTACATATTATGATCTAAACAGTGCTTTGCAGGTGGCTTGTTTCTTAGGGCTGCCAGTATAAGATGTTTACCCCCCTTGAAACTGAACTGTATACTGGCAACTGTAACACATGCTTCCGGTCATACACATCCCGGAAGGAGGAGATGTCTTCTCTTTTCCTAAAAGTAGCAACAATTCCTCAAAATATTGCAGTAGGGAAGCTCCTCACTTCCCTTTCTTAACTTTTAGCAACAAGTACTTTGTTTAGGGACTGCCCAGCCTATTTCAGAATGCTTTGTTCCCTGGAATTACCTACTGTCTCTCCTCCCTCAAATAAAACACCCATTTTCTCAGTGCTGTCCGTGTCAGATAAGAGGAAAGCAAATAAACTTCTACTTGTTTGAAATAACTATAGCTCCACAATCTTCAGTCATACTTGTTTGTTTGTTTGTTTTGTAGAGATATGGTCTCACTTTATCACCCTAGGTAGAATGCCATGGCATGTCACACAGCTCACAGCAACCTCCAACTCCTGGGCTTAGGCGATTCTCTTGCCTCAGCCACCCGAGTAGCTGGGACTACAGGTGCCTGGCACAACACCTGGCTATTTTTTTGTTGCAGTTTGGCCAGGGCTGGGTTTGAACCCACTACCCTCAGTATATGGGGCCGGCATCCAACCCACTGAGCCACAGGCGCCACCCCCATTAACTTAAATTCTTTTTTTTTGAGACAGAGTCTCAAGCTGTCACCCTGGGTAGAGTGCCATGGCGTCATAGCTCACAGCAACCTCAAATTCCTGGGCTTAAGCAATTCTCTTGCCTCAGCCTTCCAAGTAGCTGGCACTATAGGTGCCTGCCACAACACCCTGCTATGTTGTTGTTGTTGTTGTTGTTGTCATCATTTTTTAGCAGGCCCAGGCTGGGCTTGAACCCGTCATCCTCAGTGTGTGGCCAGTGCCCTGCCAACTAAGCTACAGGTACTGCGCCATAATTGCATATTTTTTAAAGTATGCTTTTAAACCTAACTATTTGATTGATCAAATTCCAAGTGGTAGAACTGAGAATCATCCAGACTTTGTTTGGAGAGGCCATGTACAAGTGCACACATCAGGCTACTGCCTGGCCTATGACTTGCCCTTCCATCTCCACTCCGCTCCTGCTTCCTCCTCTACCTATGACGCAGCAGATTCCCTTACAGTCCTAATTTACTGCCCCCAGAATGTATCCTGTGGCCTCATGGATGCTGGTGGTGGGTCAATTGAGTCAGGACTGTTTAATATCAAAGTTAGGACAATAGGTCATTCAGGCCTCCAACCATAAGCTGGCTTGGCTTCCACTTCTCTCACACTCCAGGAACAGGAGTACCAGCATCCTACTGGACAGAGGTGATGTCTGTATGTTCAAGATTTTTATTAGCTCCCTGAACTTGCCAAATATTGACTTAATACATCTTTATCTTTCTATTTAGTCAAAGCAAAAAATGATTCCCATCCCTTGGGGCAAAAAGGTGTTCTATAGTAATTCTGATCTAAACAGACTTTATCCAGCAATCACTGAAATTTGGTGCACTGGTCTATAAGCATCCTAACATGTTTTGTTTTTTTCAACAAGTCCAGGATAATTCTACTTCTACATTATTGAATTTCTACTCTAGGAAGGCCTGAAATAGTATGCAGCTAATAAAAGTTACAATGCAGACTTTATAGCATAAGAGGAGATGAGCCATTTTATTCTAAGAAAGGAGATATAAAAACTACACATACATGTTTGCAGTTATATAAGATCATGTCTGCATGTGAACAGAGACTGGAAGGAAGAAGCAAACATAATATAGCTACTGTGCTAAGGGAGCTGAGTTTTAAGTGAGGGGGACTGGGACTTTTAATGATTTTTGTTTTATGTTATAACTATATACTATACAGAATAAAAACCATTTATATTATAAAAATCATGCTTATGATTAATATATAATTTTATGACAAAAGAAACTAGTTATGTTCTATAATATAAATGGGGTGATAGGTAGCATAGTAAATTAAAGCCCCTCCCTCAAATTAAATACTCCCTTTCCTAAAAGGCTTCAGAATAGGAGAAGGAACACTCTGATGGGTAAATAGCACTTTAACCACCTTTTCTATTTCTGAGGCCAAACAAACATACCCCTTATTTCTAAATACACCTTTTACTGGAGTATTACAAAGTGTTTTTAAGTACAGCTTATCTGTGATTCTAAGGTCAGGGCATGAACCATTAAGTCTGTCACATTTCTCACCTTTCACCCCAAATACTAAAAATCCTATCCATTGATTTGGACTCTGGGAAATGTTTTGAAGATTTTCCAAAGTATGTAGTTCAAAAGGTATGTCTGGTTTACAACGAATCAGGCCTCCTGTGTTTACTCGCTGGACACTGTGATAATCTTCACATCTGCCAAGTCCAGATACGTGCTAGTCTCTTAGGGAGCAGCTGTGAAGGAATCCCATCAAGAAATCAGACGACATAGTTGTTGATGGCTGTGGGCAGAATGAAACCAGTTGAGCAGAAACCTACATGACAAGTGGGGCTGAGGAAGCAATCTGACCTGCCAGAATAAAGAGCAGGAAGCCAGCCAGGCTGCTCCCGGCCCAGACCTAGAGATCAATGTCTTCACTCACTCATCCTCTGAAGTCTTATGACCAACCAGCCTCACGCCTCAGCCCCCAGTCTCACCAATATATACACAATTCACAGGTCAGATGTTCTGAAATGATTTTCCCAACTATGTTTGCCAAGTTACATAGAATCCCCTGATTATAACATTCTTCAAGAAATATGCTCTCTCTCTAATACAGTGTTTGGTACTACAAGCTTTGTCTCTAGGCAGGGAAAGGGTGGGCTGGTGACCCTGGTATGTAAGCAGCACTGATCTGGGACTAGGAGCTGTGGGCAAGTTAATCTCTACTGCTCGGCCTGCCTGACCCCTGTCTTTCTTTTATTTAGAGACAGGGTCTCACTCTGTTTGTTACCCAGGCTTGAGTGTAATGGTATGATCATATGTCACTGCAACTTCTAACTCCTGAGCTCAAGCAATCCTCCTGCCTCAGCCTCCCAAGTAGCTGGGACTACAGGTGTGTGCCACAATGGTTGGCTATTTTTTTTAACTTTTTGTAGAGACAGAGTCCTACTGTGTTGCCCAGGTTGGTCTCAAACTCCTAGCCTCAAGCAATCCTCAGCCTCCCAAAGGCTCCCACACAGCCTACTTGCCTTTCTTATAACACCATCCCCCTACATTTAGAGTCAACAATTGTGTTCTTCAAGAGGCATACCCTGAGATGGAGTTCTGGTATAAAGAAGGTGTTTATTAGGGAGGGCCCATGGGAGGGGAAAGAAAGAAAGCAGGAGTGAGCAAAGAGAGAAGTCCAGCTGCAATGCAGACCCATTAACCACCTGGGCTAACTTCACAGAGAGTCTAGAACTAGAGTTTTCCAAGTTGAGATGGGTCAGCCAAGCCTGTATATTATCACATCAATCAGCTACTGGAGGTGGGTTGTCCTGGAAGAGGTGATGATCATGGGTAAGATGACTTTCTGCAAGTGGTAATGCCTGAAGAGACTCACAGGTAAAGGCCAGTGCAGTAAGTCCTTCATTGAAAGGGTATCTGAGCAGCAGAAGGCCCCTTGCTGGGAGCTTCCCCTCTGTTAATCCTTAGCATATTGTGAGTGCATTACCTCCCTTAACTTACAGGTGAAGAAATACAGACTAAGCAAGCCCATCTGGGGCCTCAAGCTCACCTTGGATGTGCTGCCAACAAAACATGGCTGCCTGTGACCCACTCCTCACACATTTCCCTCAACCTGAAAGAACCAATGCTGATGTCTGCTAACTTCTTTTCTAGGTAGTGGTCATTCTTAAACCGTGGCTTCTCAAAGACAGCAATTTAACCCTCAAATGTTCACCCAATGGTGAGGTTAAGTAGATGGGAAGAGAGGAAGAACATTTGGGGTCAAGCAGGACTTTGTGGCACCTCAGTCCTTTAACTCAAAGTCTCCTATTTAGACTGCCCAAGAATGGCTATCTGTGGTGTGGAAACAGAAGTTACACTGATGTCTAACACCTGAAGTATTTAGGTACCATTCACCCTATGCCTACTAACATACTCAGGCCCAACAATAAACCAAATGAAACCCTCAGTTGTGTGACAGCATGGAAAGTTTCCAGGTAAGTCTCATGATGTGTTTCTCATTAGGTAAAACAACCCACCACTGGATCCGGGTGTGGGATTTCACTGGGCCCTAATGCTTTCTCCTTTGACTCCAACTTACCCAATTCCCTGTCCCTCCCTCAGCTGATCCAGACAGTGAGTGCAGTGGACCAAGATGACCCACACAATGGTCAGCATTTCTACTACAGCTTGGCCCCTGAAGCTGCTAACAACCCTAACTTCACCGTAAGGGACAACCAAGGTAATCCACTGGATAGCTGGCTATCTCTGCTCTTCTACAGCTTAGGCTGGCTACTTACTGTACTATGCACACAGTGTCAAAGGTCACCTGCTCTTTAATAGCAGGGAGGACATTTGTAATGTCTTACATCAAAGCCAAAGAAAGCCCTCTGCTGACTCTAAAACTTTCATTCAGTCAGTAAGTCAAGAGATGGTTCGTGAAGGACACATTCTGTGTCAACCATGCTGCAAAGCTAAGAGGCAAAATCCTTCATTCATTCCCAGAGACAGCAGCCTTGTTTATGTATTCTATAATGCTGGGGAAAATCTGAGAAACATGACAGAAAGTGACCTATATAAAGAGAAAAACCTAAAAGAACATTTCTAAGCAATTAAGAGGGAAACAGTGAAAAACCCTCAGAACAAAAGGGAGAGAAAGGGTAAGTAACAGAGATAGCAAAGGACAGATACAGTAACACGCACAGCAGCTTTGGCATTGAAACAATTTTATCACTTTAGAATGCCTTAGAGACACACCACAGGTAGTTCCCTATCCACAAAGTGCACCCTACTATAGCTTTGTTGGAACAGAAATCTAAAGCTCTCTTCTCCAACAAGCATTCAGATCAGCTAAGGGGTTTACTGACCCGGCACACTCTTCTTTGGGCACAGATGGGAAAAAGAAAGACTTTTGTTCTTTGCCAGATAACTGCTTCCTAGAAAGGTCAAAGCAATGGAAAAAATAAGTTAAATCTGTCGAATGAACCCCTTCTGTTAATTCTGCTACCAAATGACCTTGGAGAGGTCATCAGTTCTCAGGCCTGCAATAGCTTCATTTTCTTTCCAATTCTAAGACATTATCACTTTGCAAAAGTCTAAACAAAGGATAAGGAAAAGTCATGATTAGGCATGATGAGTCTTAGTCTCAAACATCAGTTATTAAAAGTATTAATTCAACTCCCCAATAGTCTTTCGCTATAAAATTTGAGAATCTCAGACCTGTTTTCTTCTACATGAAAAGCATTCTTCTAAAATCACTAAAATAATTATACAAGGAAGGGGAAATATGAATAATAAAAAGACAAATACTATAATTAAATATCCTGAGATTTTTATTCGGTCACAATTGTGAACTATTCATTCACGTGCTTCATGGGAAATCCTTCCTGCAAAAAGTAGCTTCTGCTGCCACAGATTGCTTTTACAAAGGAAACCTAGGGGTGGGAGGCAGATAAGACATTATGTTCTTTCATTAAATTTTCAACTGTCACTCTAGTATATTTCAGAATCAATAAAAAATAATATGCTGCAAAATGCTGCAAATTTCTAAAAGTTAACTTTGGGCATCAATTCATAGAACCAATATCTTAAAAAGATGGGCCACTGGAACAGGAAAAGACATGACTCATCTTTTGGAAGGGTTCCCTAAACAGAAGTCATCACATCCTCAACAGAGAGCATGAACTCTTAATATCCTTGTGACAATTTACTCCATAAGCATTCTTTACTGAGACTCACTGAAAAACTGACTTGATGTGGTGGACCCACCATCACATGCCCTGCTCCTATGCCAAGACATGTCCTGAACACAACAGGACACTATCGCAAGTACGACTGTTTTTACTTTAAAATCCCCAAACCTTATGACAAAATTATGTGTATATAACACTTTAGTAGTATTTTTTCCATGCTTTGCTTTATTTAATATTTCCAATAATCCTGTTAAGATTTTAAGGAAGTTACTCATCTCTCTGATTCTCACTGTCCCATTTGATAGATATGAACAGTAAGAGAGTAAATCTTAAGGCTGGGACTAAAAGTTGGGCCCTGTTTTAGCCCCACATCCCCACACACAATGTTTTGGGTCACCTTAAAAACAAATACCTATTCCAAATGAATTACCAAAGTTCTAATCATTGCATTCAACAAAACCTTACCAAGTGGCTACTATATGTCGGGCCCATTCCAGAACTGGACTCTGCAATGTGATGCTCTAATTTTTCAATTTAATCTTTCTTTTTCTTTCTTTCTTTCTTTTTTTTTTTCTTTTTTTTTTTTTTGAGATAGGGTCTTACTTCATCACCCAGGCTAGAATGCAATGGTGTAATCACAGCTCGCTGCAGTCCTGAACTCCTGGACTCAAGTGATCCTCCCACCTCAGCCTCCCAAAATGCTGTGACTACAGGGATGACCTACCATGCCTGGCCCATATCATACTATTTAAAATTAAGGAAAGAAAGGCCAGGTGCGTTGGCTCTCCTATAATCCCACTTACTGAGGACAAGGCAGGAGGATAACTTGAGGTTAGGAATTTGAGAACAGTCTGGGCAACACAGAAAGACAAAAAATAAAAATAAAAAATTAGTCGGGCAGCGCCTGTGGCTCAAAGGAGTAGGGCACCGGCCCCATATGCCAGAGATGGTGGGTTCAAACCCAGCCCTGGCCAAAAACTGCAAACAAACAAACAAAAAAAAATAGTCAAAACCTTAATTATACTGTTATGAAATTCAGCTCAAGTCTTTCTAAAAGTCTTATGACCTAGCCTAAATTAAAACAAAACATTAAATTAAAATAATTCTCTTTAGAGAAAAACTTGGTTTCTGGGGGAAAAAACTAAAACTATGAAGCAGAATTAATAGTACTTACTTATTAAGTTCAGAAAACAGAAAGGTGGGTGGTTGTGTGGTAGGTAGAAATACAACTATAATCCTCAGGTTGGCTATCTTTCTCCACCAAGAAGAAAGTAAGAAGAGAGTAGCCTGTATCAAAGCAGGAAGAGATCATGATTATCTCAATAATTTTTTGACAGTGAATGTTACTAAACCACATAAGTAGTTACAAAATACAATGGAAGGAGTGCATGTTTGGGAGTCAGAGAGACCAGAGTTCAAATCCCAGTTGTACTACTAACCAGGTTAGTGACTTCAAATTATAAAATCTGTCTAGGCCTCATTTCCCTCACTGCACAGGGAGAGATTATTACTACCTCACAAAGTTGTGGGGAAGAGTAAATGAAAGACTGCGTGCAAAGTCCAAGTACATGGCACATGAGCACGCAATGAACTATGGCTGCTACCATAAAAACCAGGGGAACGAGGAAGGGGAAAAATTAATTAAGGGATAATGGGCTAGTCAGAAAAGACCAGGTTATGCTCCACAAACCCCCACCACCAAAATCTCAGTGGCTTAGTGCAACTGAAGTTAATTTCCTGCTCACATTTCGTGTCTGAGTGTCCCGGGACAGCTGTCCACCATCCACAGCAGAGTCCCAGGCTGCTTAGATCTTCACTTCACATACGCACTGCAGGGTAAGAAATCACAGAGAAGCCTACACCTTAACATGCCTCTGCCCAGAAGTGACACAAATCACTATTGCTCATTTTTCATCAATGATAGCAAATCACTTAGGCATTCCCAAATTCAAGAGGATAGGAATGTATAATCCTTTATTATATGCAAGAAGGGAAGGAGAACCTGAAGTATTGATGATCATGCATAATGTTTACTCTGGTTAGGCTCTCCGAATTTTTTGTGAAGTTCTAGACTCTGCTGTGAAATATGAACTACATCCAGAGAATCTACCATGTTGATGGTATTTGCCTTGAGAAACACTTCTTATATGTCCTACCACAATTCTCTCAAACTTCTCCTCTGCATAAAATGATCTGAGCTTTGCAAAAATGTACCATATCAACTTCAGAATTAAAACCCACTCCAAGGGTGGTACCTGTGGCTCAGCGAGTAGGGCACCAGCCCCATATACCAAGTGTGGTGGGTTCAAACCCGCCCCCAGCCAAACTGCAGCAAAAAAATAGCCAGGCGTTGTGGTAGATGCCTATAGTCCCAGCTGCTCGGGAGGCGGAGGGCAATAAAGTGAAACTCTGTCTCTACAAAAAATAAATAAATAAATAAAACTCACTCCAGGAAACTTGAAAGCACAAATTAAAAAATATGAAAAAAATCTCAGAATACGACAGTAGGTGAATATAAAAGTAAATACACACACAGAGCTTGGTAGAAATACATCTCATAATCTGACTTCAATCCCCTTCAAAATTGAAGGAGAAATAACCAGGATTGCTAATCAAGAATGAATTTTCAGCAAGTTCATGTTAACTGTTCCAACTTAGACCACCAATCTAGGAGAAATAACAGGGTGTGTCATATGATTAGGGGATTTCAAGTAAGTTTCTGCTAAATGAGCAGGTTCTTGAGGAAGCACAGGAAGAGCTGGTGACTGCATTTCACAAGCATAAAAGAAAATAGCAAAAGACATGAATTCCAGCCAAAGTGGCAAAAATAAGCAATCTGCCACAGTCACACAGCTCCTCACATTCTCTTCCTGGAGGCACAAAGTAGCGCTTGGGCCTTGGCAAGCTGCTGAGCAGGAACAAATAGGGACCACAAGTCACCAGTGATTGTTCATTTCTGTCAAGCTTTCCCAAGGACATTTTTGTTAGAATTGAAGTCTGACAGTTCACCCTGGGCACTTTATGTCACAAAGGGTAAGACAAATGCTCTAAAAAAGCTTTCTCTGCTAGGCCTCAGGGTTTTGCCTGAAAGCAAGCAGAAATCCTGGGTTTCTGAATCCAAATACTGATCAGGCAAACCTGCCTTGGCTATGGCTGAGCAGCAAGGAAGGTTTGACTATCCTTCTCTCTCCTTCCTACACCCTGTCCCTGCCCCTTTGCTTTCCTCAATCTAAGATATTAATTCCCCTTCCCTTTTTCAACCCTGGAACCCCTGGCATTTTCAGATAACACTGCCCGGATTCTAACGAGGAAGTCTGGCTTCCGGCAGCAAGAGCAGAGTGTCTTTTACCTGCCCATCCTGATAGCAGATAGTGGGCAGCCAGTGCTCAGCAGCACTGGCACCCTGACCATCCAGGTGTGCAGCTGTGACGACAACGGCCACGTCATGTCCTGCAGCCCCGAGGCTTACATGCTCCCAGTGAGTTTGAGCCGGGGTGCCCTCATTGCCATCCTGGCCTGCGTCTTTGTCCTCTTAGGTAAGTAAAGGCTCCTTTCTGTTCTATGGGGTTCTGCAAATGCTTACCCAGACGATCAGTTAGTCACTGTCATTAACACCTATTCAGAATTGGTCTTTTCAAATCATGCTTACTGAATGAGTGGTAGAATGAAGCTGGGCAAAGGTTTAAAAAAAACTGAAGATAGTCCTTTCCTTCAAGCTGGTCTGGAGATATTAAAGCACATCTGTTTATCAAGGATCTGCAAAGAGCAGGGGGCTCCAGGCTAAGTGCTGGGGTTAATAAACCAGACACATCCCGGCCTTCACGAGTATACTTCAAACCCAGCAAGTTTATTTTGACATCATGGAACCAAATCGTAATTTTGCACAGGATAAGATGATCATTTCTTCTAACTCCTTAATTTCAGGTCAGGAGTAGCTAACTCACAGAAAGGTAAGTGACAGGCCCAAGGCCAAAAATGTCAGAGGCAGAGCCATAACTGAAATGCAGGCAGGCCATACACTGGGCAGCCTATGCCTTGGCAGTACTGCTCTTCTCCTAGATGCTCATCTCCTGATTGTGGAGGCAATAATTCAGAGAAGGGAAGAAGAACAAGGTGTCCCGGAGGGCAGTGGGGATAGGAATAGATGCCACTTCAAACAGGGTGGTCAGGGCAAATCCTCACTGATAAAGAGATCTTTGGGCAGAGATCAGAAGCAAGTGATGGCATGAACCATGTGGATTCAGAGAATAAGCTGCTGGTGAACACTAGTGCCTTCCCAGGTGCTGCAGCCATCTAACAAAGAGCAGTGACTACACAGGACCAGTTTGCCTCTGCTGGTGAAATAAAAGGATGTGATGACAGACTAGTGGGAAAACATTACTGGGCAAGGGTCCTTCCTTCCTCTTCTCAAGTCACACTGCAAGGTAGCCACCTGACTCCATGCAATTGTTTTTAAGTCCATATTCATAAACAAAAGGCCTTCCATGCAATTGTTTTTAAGTTCATATTCAAAAACAAAACCGCCAAACTCAACTCTTGAAACAAAGAAAAGATCTGTACATATATCCCTACTCTTCTTACGCATTAAATCTATGGGATATACATCTTGCTTAGAGAAAAGCAGATTTAGTAAATAGTAATATTATTCAATATAAAGAAAATCCTAGCTTTCTATGAGGAAAAAAAGTAAAGCACTGGGGATCTAAATGAGAATAGATGTGCATATCCACATACACTTCCACACAGGGAGACTGAGTCAGACTAAAGAAGGAAGTCCCTAACTGTATGACTAACTTTCTGGGTAAGTCTGTGGAATATGCATCTCAGAAAACATTTTAAAACACAACACATAGGTTAATTTTGTTGTTTACTTAAGTCCTACATGAAGGGAGAGAAAGTATAAATAAGTAACATTACTAAGGCCTGGCATCCCCGGAACAGAGAGAACTGCTGTGGTTTCTGGTCCCTGACTGCACTAACAAATAAAACCTCCCTGCAATTCCTTGAGTGTCCACAAGGTGGCATTGAGAGTCCTTGAGAGCAGAAGGAGACAACTTAAAGAGGCCTTTGAAGAAACTTCCTCCTAGGAGAAATTTCCAGACTGGCAGTCCTTACTTCTATCTTTAGAAAATGTCTATGTTATAAGTTTACCATGGCCCACAAAGAGCCATCATTACAGACATACTGATTTAAAAAGACTGGCTTCGAGAGACTCTCAAGTTAGAAATGGCATGCAGGGGACAATTTATCCCTCCCCAATTCATGTCTCATCTTTTGAATTGTACAAAATAAGTAAAGAGTTTTCAGGAGCTAAATTGAGTAGAGCTGTCATCACATCCTCACAGTTGTAAGTACTCTTACTTCTAAGAATGCACATCCCACATTAAAAATAGTCCATAAAACTGTAAGATCTCAATTGCAGTTGTCCACAAAATGTAGTAAAAACACATTAATTTTGGCTTTGTGGGGTTTTGTTCATGTCTCACATATGTATATAGTTCCTAGAAAATCTCTTAATCCCATGTGCTGTGCCTACAATATCTAAAGACTAAACATCCTGAGAACTGACTCTGTCAGGGAAGCCCTTCAGCTAAATAGGATCATTTTTCCCAAAATCTGATTTTCAGGGCATTACGCAGTACTTGTTATTTAAGTCTGATTACCTAAAAAATAAGACATGCCTATTTTTATTTTTCATAGATGGACCAGTTCTATATAAACTGCCTAATTCTCCATGACTATCATAATTCCCTCCAGATCAGCGGTTGTCAACCTGTGGGTTGCGACCCACAGGAATTGTATTAAAGGGCCACAGCATTAGGAAGGCTGAGAACCACTGCTCCAGATAATAAAATACTTTTTTCAATTTGCTTGCTAGCATTTTCCAAAATACCACTCCAAGATCACATGTGTGAAGCCCTTTCTAGTCTGCCAAGTAGAGTTCACTACCCCTGCCTCTGTACTCTCTTGGCAATACTTGTGACCCTATGATAGCCCTTATCACTGTAGATGTATAGTAATTATTACTCATCAGCTTTTATAATATCCTTAGAATGCAAGTACGTAAGACCAGAAACCATGTCGTGTTCAATACTGTTTACTGTTTAGCACAGAGCCATAATAATATTTGGATCTAGTCATCGTTTACTGAATCCCATGAACACAGCATGTTCACTTAGAATCCCATTGCTCCAGCCTGAAGCAATCCAAATCACACTCCAACCTTTGATACCCAATTCAAGCTCTCACTTCTTTAGAGTCCTATTACTCTCCTTCTCTAAAATTCCACAGTCCTTCCAGTCCATTCATATGTTGCACACAGAAAAATATACAAAAATAAATCTCTGGTTCCTCTGTGTGCATTTTGTCACCCAAACATTTGGGAAAATATCTGATATTATCATTAATTCCAATTTACAGAACACATCCCATGTTCAAATTTTTTAAAAATCATTGTGGACTTTATTAGCCTGTAATCTCTGACCATACATATGACTATACTCCATTTTTTCCCCTTGGATAAACTGGGGTCTTATTTTGCAACGCTGTCCAACTGTCACTGTTCACCAGCTGTAACAAAGCACACCAGAAAAAAAAATCAATAGCAGTTCTACAACTAAAACCTCAACACACTTCCTGGAAAACCTTTTCGGTCACAGAGATAAACAGCTCAATGGGATTATCTCTATCTCTCCTTGAAACCCGAGTGAACACATCCTGGAAAAAAAGTGCATTTGTTGGGATAAAATTTTATCCAAAACTGCAAGGGCACATCTAACAGTGTGGTACTTCTTAGATAACATGATGAATTATATAACATGTCCCTGCTCATTCTCTCCCTTCCATGAACATCACTGGGCCCAGAAAGCCATAATCACCTCTTTAAATGAAAGACTTTTCCTTGGAATCTGAGGTTATTGGACCCCAGGGGTCATTTATAGAGACAGTATAAAAAGACTAAAAGTTTAGCTCATACTCACAGCATGTGTGTCTATAAGCATATTAATTAATATATGATTAGAGTACAATCTTATTAAGATGATAATAAAAGAAGGTAGAATTCCACCTACATAGTATCCCCATGCTATAATCCTACATAATAGTATCTCCACATTATAATAAGAGAAACGTAGATTCATTATCATATACAGAAAGTACATGATCTGGTCCTTAGCAAACCTTACTCCACAGAAGGCCGTAATCCTTTATGCCATAATGGGATGGATGTGTATACACACACACAATTTCAAAGCAGCGAGCTGATGTAGAGATTTTATATGCAACTACTTCTAACTGAATGACTTGAGAAACACAGGCCTTCCCTCACCCACAAGCTCTCAGTCAGACATGGCATAAAGACAACCAACTAGACTTAAATTACAAAACTACACTCAGGTTTCAAATACCCAAATGCTGTCTCTGAGCTCACCTCTCATTAAACTTGTCCCCATCTGAGTTTAGTCAGGAATACTTAAGGGTGGGCAACCCTTTCTGGGTCCCGTCCATTGTATTGGAAGCTTTCCTAGTGTCTTCTAATAAACTATCACTCTCATCACGTCTGTTTTGGGGGGGGGGGGGCATACTTAGCACAGGTATGGCGAACACTCACAGCCAGCTCTCCCCGGTTCAGCAGCCTGTCCTCTTGTTCCCGGCAGTGCTGGTGCTGCTCATCTTGTCCATGAGACGGCACCGGAAGCAGCCATACATCATCGACGACGACGAGAACATCCACGAGAACATCGTCCGCTACGACGACGAGGGCGGCGGCGAGGAGGACACCGAGGCCTTCGACATCGCGGCCATGTGGAACCCCCGGGAGGCGCAGGCGGGAGCCGCCCCCAAGACGCGGCAGGACATGCTGCCGGAGATCGAGAGCCTGTCCCGCTACGTGCCTCAGACGTGCGCCGTGAGCAGCACCGTCCACAGCTACGTGCTGGCCAAGCTCTACGAGGCCGACATGGACCTGTGGGCGCCGCCCTTCGACTCCCTCCAGACGTACATGTTCGAGGGGGACGGCTCCGTAGCGGGATCGCTGAGCTCCCTCCAGTCGGCCACTTCGGACTCGGAGCAGAGCTTCGACTTCCTCACAGACTGGGGGCCCCGCTTCCGGAAGCTGGCCGAGCTCTACGGGGCGTCGGAGGGGCCCGCGCCGCTGTGGTGACGGAAGCCGGGAGGCAGCGCGCGTCCAAAACTAGACGGTGTCCCCGCGGGCGCTGCGCGGGGGACTAGGGGCAGCCGACCGCCCCAGCGATACTGTGCTGGAGGGTGAGAGTGGGGTGAGCCGGGAGGACACAGCTCTCTCTGGATCAGCTTTACTTGGTCAGATTAAGTTAAAAATTCAAAAGGAAACCTTGGAAGAAGAGAGTAGAGTCTCCATTTGTCTTTTTTAATCCTTTTTAATTTTTCTGACGCTGTATTCAAGGACTTGGAGGCAAGCTCAGCTTTTCTTTGCCATTTGTCAGGCCTGGCCTTTGTCACTTTGTCAGCACAAAAAGGTTCTGTCTTGGATGTAGAGACGGCAGTGAAAAGCAGAAAGTGCTACTCTCATGTTCGTTTTTTGTTTTTTGTTTTTTTCTCTTATGCTCCATTTAAGAGTTCTGTTGGCTTTTCAAACAGCGGAGACCAACACACATGAGAATACGTATAAATTGTTCCTGGGGGTGGATGGAATCTCTTTTAACGCGTTTTGAGACAAGGTTAAGACTGAATCGGCCTTGCATGGGGGGATCGGGTGGGAGGGTGGGAGAAGAAAGAGACAATGACTTTGTGCTCAAGTTTAATGGCTGAACCAAGAGTTGCTGTCATTACAGCTGATCCAGCACCACCAAGTTAGAGTGCCCGTGTTCTCCTCTCAGCTCTTTTAACTGTGCCCCAGCAAAATTGTTCATAACAACACCAGAAGATCTGCCTCTTTTGCACTGTAGATGTCTCTTCCATGTGCCAAATGTGGAGATTAGATGCTACAAACGAAAGCCAAATAAAAAGAAGTACCTGATAAAAGCATGGGTTAGAGGGCTTTCCTAATCTGTGTGAGGTCAATCCAAGGGATGTTTACATACTGTAGATAACCTACTTGAACAAAAATCAGTATTATAGAGAATAAATGGATGTAAGAAAATTACATGTATAAGTTTTGTATATTTGTTAATAATTTTGGTAATAAATATGATGTACTGCATCTCAGTACCTTAGCACTTCTTTTAATAAAAGTTAAATAGAAGGGAAAGTGTATTGCACATTTGTTTAATGGTTGAGCAGGTAGAAGATGACATTATAATCCGGCTCTAGCTTCAGGCTCCTGGAGCTGGGGCTGATTCATAAGGCAAGAGCAATGGTGAAGAAGTATGAGGCTTTACTTTCTATTTTAGTTCACTGACCAGATGAACATTGTGGTTCAATTGTTAAGCTTTTAGCGAACACTCTTTATTCTCTCATCTCTGAAAAGAGCAAAGGAAGTTTTCATAATATCAATGACACAATGGTCAATTTAGCTCCTATTTTTCATTTTATGCGAGGGTGTTATGCACGGCCACCAAATGGTGTGCTACTTACATCTCTGTTTTATTGGCAAGGTGAATATGTTCTGCTCCTCAATGGTAAATGAGCTCACAGAAGGTTGAAGCCTTATTTTATTCATCTTTCCTCTTCCTACAGTAGCTAACATAGCTCTTTACATATAGTAGGTGCTTAATAAATGCTTAGTGGCTACATGATGGAAGAGATCTTTTTTCCTTTCTGTTACTAAAGAATATTTAACACAATTATCCTCACAACTGAGGACAACTGGTGAACAAAATAGTTTTCTAAAAGTCTTGGTTGTAGCAACAGTTCTGAAATTTTAATATGTTTCAGCATTACCTGGATAATTTGTTAAATTATGTTACCCTGAGAATTTCTGATTCAGTAAATCTGAAGCCATTGGCATTTCTAACATACTTGTGTGTAATGCTGATGCTGCTCATCCAGGGACCACATTTTAAGAACCTCTGATATATAGCTGGTCATTCTAACCATGTGAAGATTGGGTTACCACTTCACCCGCATGGGGTCCCATCTCCTTAGCAGAATGGGTTTTGAATTTTTTTTTCCAGTAACAAGGAAACATATGAGAAAAATTGATGAGGGCCTGGGAGCCTGCAAGATATTCTTTTGTGCCTATTATGTGGTACACTAAGGCAAATCTTTTCTTCAGTCTTCAGCGTACTAACCCTTCCTTTCCATGAAAAGCAGGCAGCTCTCACACATCCTTTTTGGGGATAGGGCATAATGTAAAAATAAATACAGAAAAAAAAATAAAAACCACAAGTCCAAACTAGGCTCTACAACGTTCCAATTACATGAATGCAAATCAACCCCCATAACATTCTTCCTTTCTACCATAAGCCCTGAAGGTAATTTTGTGACTATTTCACTTTGTGTTGCTTGTGTTACAACTGGGAACAGCTGTTCTCCTAACCACAGGGGGTTATCATGCCCCACATCCTGCAAATGCAGTTCCCATGATATTGTGCATGAAGTGATTAAACAGAATCTCCTCTATCTTCTGGTCCCTGGGAGGATATTTAATGGTGTAATACAGGAAGTGTGAATGAAGCACAAAATAAGAGATCCATTTCAGCTCATACTCTAAATGCAGACCCCTTCTCTTCAAATGAGTTTTTAAATTCCCTTTCTTCTGCCACAGTTTGATATAAATGCTGATCCATCTGGGAAAAGTAAAGAAAGAAAGAAAACCATCATCACTGTTCTACAAACAGTGTGATCATGTTAGACCAGAGAGCTGTAAAATTATTTAGCCATTTTGTTAACAGTTAAATCATATAGCCTATAATTCACATGCTGGTAAGAAAAAGGAATATCTATAGCAATCAGTCAATAAGAAGCATTGTGAAACTATATTCTGAATGAGAACACAAGCAGAGATAAAATTAGCAATGACTTTTCTGAATCTATAAAAGAAAATAATATCCAAACATGGCAGACAGCAAAAGCAAAGATGGAGTGGTTTACACAAGAAAGAGTCTATGAATCATAAGAACGGAATTCAAACAAGTCATAATCAGTGCAGGCACATTGATTAACGGTTGTCACTAGTACACTGGTGATATAGAACTAGACCTTGATATCAGAATTCACAGTATATCCATATAATGCTGGGACTATATGAACATAGGATTCACATTATAAGTAGTTTCATTAGGGATCATCTCATTCTCAAATCCATTTGTCCTTTTCATAATAGAGTTAAAGAATTTTCAAGGTATTATTATATTTTATTTAACTTAATTTTTTTTTTTTTACATAGCCAAGGATGCTGAACATCAAGGCATTATTATGTGCTTGCTTCGTCAGCACATATACGAAAATTGGAACAATACAGAGAAGATTAGCATGGCCCCTGTGCAAGGATGACATGCAAATTCATAAAGTGTTCCATATTTTTTTTAAAAATCCATTATTGTATATAAATACCTGGATTTGAAAGCTTCTGCTTGATTCTTAAGTATCAAAGTTCTAATATAGGAAGTAGATAAAATTAAGTCAATGGGTCCTCATTTTTCATTTTTTATGTTTTATTTATTTATTTATTGAGATAATGCCTGCCTCTGTTGCCCAGATACAGTGCAGTGGCGTACTTCTGGGCTCAAATAATCCTCCTGCCTTAGCTACCCAAGTAGCTAGGACTACAGGTGTGTACCATACATCTGGATAATTTTTGTAGAGACAGGGTCTCTCTATGTTACTCAGGCTGGTCTGGAACTCCTGCCTTCAAGCGATCCTCCTACCTCAGCCTTCCAAAATACTTGAATTACAGGAATGAACACCCATACCTACCCAAGGGCCCTCTTTTTAAAATGACCCACTAATGAAACTTTTGATTCGTATCATGCAAAAAACATGAATATTAATTTATATTCTATGTAATTAACTGTAACACCAATTCAAAACACAATTTTTCTTAAATCTTTCTTCCTGGGACAGGAAGCTGGCAAATCATAGCTCATTTTTCTGGCCATGTTCTTGGTTTTGTAAGCACGATCAGATGGCTGAGGATGGGGGAGCTTCCTTCCACTCCAATGCTTTGGCCACTGTGGCTACCTCCAGCTGCCCATGATGCCAAGGACTCTGCCTCCCAACCCAGAAACCTTAAGCCACTTCTGTGAGAGTACCACTCTCAGAAACTAGTATAATTACCTACAGAATCATTTCTAACTTTTTAGGAGGGCTAAATCCTAGGTTTTGGTAAGCTATTATTTCTATTTCTTCCCCTTCTTTCCCATAATTTGTTTCAGTTACCATTGCTACAGAAAATAAAAACAAAACAGTGGTGTAAAATGACAAATATTTTATTATGCTCCTAGATTCTGTGGGTCAGAAATTCATAAATGGCTTGTCAATGATGACACCTTGTCTCTGCACCACAATGTCTGGGGCCTTGGCTGGGAAGACTCAAAGTCTGGTGAGTCATAGGCTGGGATTCAACTTATCCAAAGGTTTACTTGCCCACATGTCTGGTGGTTGATGCTGGCTATCAATAACAACCTTTGATGGAATAATTCTCAGACAGACCTATCAAGTGGCTACTTGGGCTTCCTCACAGCTGAGTTCTAAAAGTAGACATAGCAGGAAAACCAGGCAGAAGTTCAGTCACCTTTTAGGACTTCAAAAGTCACATAGTATTACCTCAATGGCAGTCACAAGCCTCCCCATACCGAACAAGAGGGAACACAGACAGAGGGAACTCCACATCTCAATAGGGAGCGTGTCAGAGCTACAGTGTAAGAAGAAAGAACACTGTGCCCATTGTTGGAAAATACAATCTGCCACGTTATCGGGAAAACCTTTTCTACCTTCTTCTTTCCCATGCTCCAGGATCACTTTTAGTTACTCCCTTCCACTTTCTTTTCTCTCTACAGAACATATTCTTATGCTCTAGACATATTACTCGTTGTTGAAATTCAGCCTTACCCCTGCCACACAGTGCTTTCTAATGTAAATGAGTATTTCATGAAACACCTAGTTGATATCTGATATGTAACAGGCACACAATATATTTTTGTTGAACTACAATTGGAATACAATAAACTGCATATATCTAAGCATACAATTTAATAACTTTTGACCTATGTATACGCATATGCTCGTGAAACCATCATCACAATCAAGACAGTGAGTATAACTAGCCCCTTAAAAGTTTTCTCATATACCCTTCTCTAACATCTCCTTCCTATGTGGCCTATGCCCCCTCCAACCCCAACCAACCATGTGCTTCCCATCACTATAGATTAGTTTGCATTTTCTAGACATTTATATAAATAGAATCATACAATATGTACTTTATTCTTTGATCTGGTTTCTTTCACTCAGAATAATTATTTTCAGATTCATCAATGTCATTGTGTACATCAATAGTTTATTGGATTTTGTTGCTGAGTAATATTCCATTGTATAGATATACCACAATTTGTTTATTCATTCACATATGGATGGACATTCAGGTTGTTTGAATTTTGTCTATTATAAATAAGCTGCTGTGAAGACTCATGTGTGAGTCTTATATAGACATTGTTTCCTCTTCTTGGTAAATACCTAGGCATAGAATGGCTGGATCATGTGGTGGGTACATGCTTGTAAAAAAGAAAACTGCCAAACTGTTGTCCAAAGTGTGTTTACCATTTTATTCCCACCAGCAGTGTCTAAGAGTTCCATTTCTTTCACATCCACACCAATCCTTGATGTGGCCTTTTTAATTTCAGCTATTATAATAGGAGTGTTGTATCTCTCTGTGGTTTTAGTTTACCACAGCCTGATGATTAATTATGTTGAGCTCTTTTCATGCACTTATTTGCCATCCAAATATCTTCTTTGATCTAATATCCATATGATTTGTCCACTTGTAATTGGGTTGTTTACTTTCTTATTGAGTTCTGTGATGTCTTTGTCTTTTCTAGATACAAATCTTTTATCAGATAGATGCCTTGCAAAAATATAGTCCCAGTCTGTGGCTTGTCTTTTCATTTTCTTAACAATACCTTTTAAAGAGAAGAAGGTTGAAATCCAGTTTATTAATCTGTTATCTCATGGACTGTGCCTTTGGTGTTATTCCTAAGAAATCTTTGCCTAACCCAAGGTCACAAAGATATTTTTTCAATGTTTTCTTCTAAAAGGTTTGTTCTTTCAAGTTTTATATTTAGGTCTATATTCCGTTTCTGAGTTTATTTTTGTAGGGTATGATTAAGGCCCTTTTTTCATTTTTCTTTTTCTTTTCTTTTACATATGGATATCCAACTGTTCTAGCACAATTTATTGGAAAAAACTGTCTTTTTTTTCACTGCATTATATCTTTGAACCTTGTTATGGATTGAACTGAGTACTCCAAAAAGATATGTTTAAATCCTAAGCCCCAGTATCTGTAATTGTGACCTTATTTGGAATTACTGGAGGGCAATGAGAGGATCTTGGGTGTGCTGCAATTTTTTTTTTTTTTTTGAGACAGAGTCTCACTTAGTCACCCTGGGTTTGAGTGCCATGGCCTCATAGCTCACAGCAACCTCAAACCCTTGGGCTCAAGTGATCCTCTTGCCTCAGCCTCCCAAGTAGCTGGGACTACCGGCCACACGCCCAGCTATTTTTAGAGAAGGGATCTCACTCTTGCTTAGGCTGATCTCGAACTCGTGAGCTCAAGCAATCCTCCTGCTTTGGCCTCCCAGAGTGCTGGGATTACAGGTGTGAGCCACCATATCCAGCCTTGCTGCAAAAATTTGTAAAGATCACTAATTAAATTATTTTTGAAAGAAGTTCAAAGAACAGTAAGTATATTCTTTTTTTGCAGTTTTTGGCTGGGGCTGGGTTTGAACCCGCCACCTCCAGTATATGGGGCCAGCACCCTACGCCTTTGAGCCACAGGTGCCACCCAGTATATTATTTTTTTTCTCTTTTTTGATCAACATAATTTAAGTGTGCCATGGAAGTTTAACTATGTGCCAAGTGTTCTATGAGATGAAAAAGGTTGAAAAACACTGCTGTAAGGTGTTTGTTTGTAGCTGTAATCAAGTTAAGATGAGGTCAGCCTGGATTAGGGTGGGCCCTAATCCAATGACTGGTTTCCTTATAAAAAAGCAGATTTTTACATTAAGACAAAGACACAGAGAGAACACTGTTTGACAGTGGGGACGGAGGTTAAAGTGATGCTTCTACACACCAAGGATTGCTGGCAGCCACCGGAAGCTAGGAAAAGGCATGGGATGGACTCTTCTCAGAGCCTCCAGAAGGAGTTAACCCAGGCAACACCTGGATTTTGTACTTCTGGGCTTCAGAACTATGAGAGAATAAACTTCTGTTGTTTTAAGCCCTCCAGTGTGTGGGAGTTTGTTACAGCAGCCGTAGGATATATACATACATAATGTACACATTGATGTATGTAATACACGTTAAAAATCTATTTTAAAATAAATTAGATATAAAAGCTAAGCACAAGGCCTTCATGTGCTCTTGTCACTATGGATCTATAACATACTTACACCAGCTTACCAATTAAGCAACTAGTGTGCTCATTTTGTGAGATTTCATTTTTAACTTCAACTCAGCCACGACACAGGGTTCAAGTGTGTAGAGAAGGCCTCTGAATGTGCCACCGCAGTCTGGCAGCCACAGCAGCAGCGGCAGCAGCAGCAGCAGCAGCAGCGGGCTTCTCTGGCTGACTTGGCAGTGAGTGAGCAGCTCTCTCATGGTTCCAGGCAGGGGGTAGGGAAGAATGAATCACCAGATGGCTGAAAAGAGACACTTCCATTCATGTGACTCCACAGATGTGGGAGCAGAGAGGTCGCAGGCTCCTGCATGCTGGAAAGGGCACTAAACGCCACCCCCAGCCCCAGGCTCAAGAACAAAAGGAAAGCATTCAGAGAGGCCCCCATGCTCTGCTTGAATGTACAGCATAGGGACGGGGCTGGTGGATCCGCCTTTGCCCTCAAGCTGTAGGTGAAGAGCAGCCCTGAAAAGTGAAAGAATTAACCTTCAGAGAGCAGGCTGTGTGGTTTCCTTCTGTCTCACACACTTGACATTCATTCCCTGGCTGCCCCAAGAACCTGATGGAATCCTCTGCATCTCCCTGCCAGGCCCAGAGGGAATGGCACACACCCTAACTGCTATTCTTCAGGAAACTACTGAGGGACTCCAGGGGTCTGATCTGGTCTTTACCTTCAGCATTAGCCTCCTCAACCTCAAATTTTTGCATTTGCAAATAACTTCTTGGAACTTTGACTGAGGTCAGTGCAAGATGAGATTCTCAAATGAGAGGCCTTACCTGAGGATGAATATTAATTACACCCAGGGGTGCACAAAGTCTCATCAGCATACTCCAGGCTAACAGTCAGGCTGCGGAGCTGCAGAGTTTAGGAAAGGGAATGGAGAAGGAAATCACCAACTATTGAGCACCTACTGTATGGAAGCACTGTGTTGGGTGCTCACACACGCACATTTCCATGTCAAAGCATAAGCAATGCACAGCTCTAAGACCAGAAAAGGATATGGAGGCTGTATGTGAAACACTGTCACAACCCCTTGGGCCCCTGTGACCCTGGTCTCAGTCACAGCAGGAAGGAACCAGGCATGATACGGATTAGAATTACAAGCTTGAAGGAGACGGGCTAGCCCTTCTTAGCAGGGCAGCCGGGAGCAACCTCCGCACTAGCCTTTTATTGAGACTGTACAACACAGGTGAGGAGAGTAATTAACAAATGACTACATGCTGAAGGCCTGGGCTCTTTCTCCACAAGGAGCACCCGCAGACCAGACGAATGGCCTGAGCTCCACCCCTCAGCTGCAGATCATCTTGCTCAGAGTTCGTCTGACTCTTGGCGTCCCCTACAAAACACTCACTTTGGGTGTGGATGCCATCAGCTCCCCTAAGAATAATAACACATAGAATGGTCTCCAAAAACAATATTACCAGCAATTGTTGATATTCCTTCTACACCATAAACCCTGGAAAACTGAAGATTGGTCTTAGCAGTGGGCACCAAAAGCAGGAAAGGACACCTGATGTGAACCATCTGAACTGTAATGAGTGATCATGACTTCAAAGTTCTGCTCTTAGGTCTTTCCTGAAAGCATGATTTTGCTATAATATGTAATGATTTTTTAAAAAATAGATGCCACTGGTTAGGATTTTGTTATCAAGGGCTTATATAATCCAGGTTAATCTCCCCTAAAAGAGCACGGAACTATTTCAGGAGGACTCTGGCAAACTGCCATATTTACAGTATGTCCCACTCCTACAAACAGGCCACAAACGCTCCATAACTCAAGGCTACTTACCCCATCCGGACTCCTACATGGATCTAAACATATGCCATGTACATCTCAGGCACATTTGGCAAACAAATTATTTATGGAATTTGGCAGAGAAGTCTTTATCAGGGTTTTTAGTCACAGTCGCTGTGACAGTACCCACTGTGACATTGAGCAGGTAAAGTGAATAATGATAAATCCAACTTGGAAGGTCAATGCCTGTTCATATTTCTAATTATTAAGTACACCATTATTGAGGGCCTCCCTGTAGCACTGTTGCCTACTGTGAGGGTAGACTGTTCATTATTCAAAGTTGTTCCTTTGTTGCGGTTAAGAACTACAGCACAGCACAAGTGGGAATCCTATTGCCATTATTAACTAGACCATCCTTCTTCTGAAGGAAAAAGAAAAAACAAGGTGTTTTGGCTTCTTGGAACAGAAGGCTGGTACTTACTGCTTCTCTTTTCATTTCAGTGCCATCCTCATGGTTAGAGTTCAAAGATAAATCTTGAGGGTCCACCAAACTATAACGTTATTAGGGATCATCCTTTAGTATCTCCTTCACTGGTTTGTTTCCCCTATGATTAAGTGTTTTGTTTTCCTATAAGGTACAAGAAAATCATGAGAACCTCTCATTGGATCTCAAAGAGAAGAAACAACAATAACAAAACTAAGGTTGTAGTAACAGCAACTCACAGCATAGAAGTCTCTGTGGGCTTCCCAGGTCCAAAGTTAGACTGGACTTAAAAATGTCAATACAGGGCAGTGCCTATAGCTCAGTGGGTAAGGAGTCAGCCACATACATCAAGGCTGGCAGGTTTGAATCCAGCCAGGGCCAGCTAAAATCAACCATGACAATTGCAACGAAAAAAATAGACAGGCATTGTGGTGGGTACCTATAGTCCCAGTTGCTTGGGAGGCTGAGGCAAGAGAATTGCTTAAGACCAAGAGTTTGAGGTTGCTGTGAGTTGTGATGCCATGGCGCTTTACCAAGGGTGACATAGTGAGACTCTGTCTCAAAAAAAGAAAAAAAATGTCAATACAAGAAAAACATGGCCATCTAAATGAGGTTCACATTAATTGTATGATTTGATCATCCTTGGCCAAGTTTTCTAATAAGGCCCAAATGTATATACTAGATTAAAAGCAAGCTTAAGTAGATATTTAAATTATTTTTATATCCTCTATATTAACTAGCAAACTTGGCAGCCTAAATTATTGAATACTATTCATAAGATTTAAGAAAATTATATAACTAACAATAGATATTATTCCCATCCTTTTCTCATTTCATACTAAACCATGATTTAGAACAACTGAATTACTAAGTCTGTTAGTGTTGATTCACTTTGTGGCCACTTACCAAACAATAAATTGGGTCACTTTAGTAGTCAGTCTAAATCAGTCCATCCACATATGGGTACCAATTACTCCATGGTCCATTAATGCCATTCCCTCCAATGATTACATCAGGGCAACCAAATGAACAGCCAATCACCAGAGCCGGCTTTGGGGTCTTTAAAGTAACAAAACAGCATTAATCACTGAAGACAGAATGAGAAGCCTAAGGGGCAAAAGTAAAAGCTAAAACCACTCTGCTGAGCTAAAAAAGTGAGACTCCACATGCACATAGATATGTCACCAATATCTGGCTACACATACCATATCCCTCAACAGAATTTCTGTTTATTCATTTGTTATTCATCTTAATGATCTGGTTGGTAGGTAAAATATCTACCAGCTTCCATATACACCCCACTTTCTTTCTAAGCATAAGGCAAAGCCAATTTTCTCATTTTGGCTGGGAAGGAATCCTAATTACCTAAAAATCTGCACATTTTGATCTCTTGAGAACAAAGTTTCTCTGTACTGGAATGCGACCAAAACGTAGACTTCTGTCTCATGCACGAAGAGAAAGCCAATTTAAGGTCTTCCCCAAACCACTTAATCTCTAGGAGGTTCTCCAGTCAACTCTATCATTTGAAATCATACCCCTACAGGCAAACAAAGGGTCTTTGGAGCATCCCTTTCCACATTCATCTTCTTAATTTGTGGGATTTAATTAACTCAGCCACTTTATCCTTGCTTTAAGGATCTCAAGGTACCTGGTTCCTTCTTAGAGATCTTAGGAAGACATCTTCCTGCCTTAAAGGGGGATAGAAAATATATAGCTGTTTTCAAAGCACTATTGCTTTCTGAGACAAGCAGTTCATCTTATTTCTTCTCTGTGGCTAGTCATTAAGAGTTGAGGTCTTGGCTGATTCTAGGTACCTTAATCCACAGGGATTCTGGAAGAAGGAAAAGTCAAAGGCAGACTGTAGACCAGGGGTCCTCAAACTTTTTAAACAGGGAGCCAGTTTACTATCCCTCAGACCATTGGAGGGCCAGACCGAGGGCCCCAACTGCTAAGCAGGACAAGCAGCGGCAGCAAAAACACTTGGCAGGCTGGATAAATGTCCTAGGTGGGCTGCTTGTGGCCCATGGGCCACAGTTTGAGGATGCCTGCTGTAGACATTCATGTCCTCATTTCAGGAAGGGGCTGGTTACAAAGGTGGAGTAGCTGAGTGTCCATACTTGGCTCATAAAGGGTCTCAAACTTTCCAGCATTTTTCTCACAGCTCCTGTCTGTAAATGCAACTATTAAATAACCCCACTGTATGAACTTCCGGGCCACCTACAATGGTGATGCATTGGACCAATGCCCGTTATGTCTGTGAAGACCTACTGTGTGAAAGAGGGAGGTTAAGATGGAGGTGAGTAGCAGAGCAGAGAGTCAGGGGCACTGAGGGCTCTGAATATCTGGATTAGAAAGTTGAGAAATGGGGAAAAAGAAGAGTCAAAGTTCACCTCCCTATTACATGGCACTGGATCTAGTTCTGATTTTATTCCCGCATTCAGGATAGATCATTTAATGAGTAGCTGAGGAGAGACTGGCCAGAGGTAATTGAGGCAGAGTAGGAAGTGAGCAAAACCAAAGATTTTCTTGTCTAAAATTCAGTATTCAGGTCAG